ATCAGATTTGATATCCCAGCAATACTCGAAAGCTGAAGTGTATGCTCGAGATTCAAGTGAATGAGTTTTTTCAACTCTTGTAGACCCTTAGGGAGATGACGGATACCTGTAGTCTGACAAGTTGAGATATTGCAAGGAAACTAAATCAGATACTCCATCCGGCACTTTGGTGAGATGTTCATTAAATGATAGATCCAACACCTGTAGCTTCGGCATGGACTTGAAGAATTCACTCGAGATATTTACCAATTCTCCCCGTTGCATGAGAAAAGCTGTGAGTTCGAGACATTCAGGACTGCCAGCTAGATTGCGAATCTTGTTCTTCATCAGTGACATTCTTCTCACACTGTTCCAATTCTTAACCTTTGGAATTTCATTTAACCCTACACCTGCATGCACAATGAAAGCCTCCTTTTCTCTTCCCAATTCAGATGCAATCCACAATGCCATTTCGCGAACAACATCATGCATACGCACCACTTCTCTTCCATCCTCTTCCATCAACAAAGATGCACGAACAAGATCACCAATTATCTCATACCCCTTGTTCTCAGCCCTTTCTATTCCATCACTTCCATTGATAATATCTTCGCATATCAAGTAGTCTATAATCTCTTTAGAAATCAGATAATCTTCTGGGAACAAAGCGCAATACAGCAAACATGATTTGACATCCTCGCCCTTAAGATTATCGTAGCTATACTTCAAAAGCGGAAGGATCTTATCTTCCATGCCAGAAAACTCTGTAGCGTACGAAGTCAAAACATTTATCGCGTGACGCCATTCTTCCACCGTCTTCTTGCATGACATGGTCTCCCCTATGACATTGAGCGCCAATGGAAGGCCACCACATTTTCTAGCAATGTCTTTTGCAAGTTGGGGATCTCTGGATCGCGTCCTAATGTTCTTTGTCCAACCTTCTTTTGGAACAAATCAAATGCTTCAATTTCCGCCAAACATTGGACTTCCAATTGTTCTTCAGCCATCATCTGCGAACATACGTTTACGAGTGGTGAAGACTACTTTGCATCGGTTTTCTGGTGCTGGAAATGGGACTCCAATCTCTGTTAAATCCACCTTCTCCCATATGTCATCTAAAAACAACACAAATCTCTTTTTCTTCAAGAAATTGTATAAATCAATGGTCTTTTGGCTCTTCTTTTTTTTCTCCCACTTCTCTCCATCAAGACCAACTTTCTGAGCGATTTCATCTTGAATCTTCTCTACATGTAACTCTTTAGACACCACAACCCAAATCACAAAATCAAATCCACACCTTTCTTCACTGAACTTATTGTTGATTTGCATGAGAAGCGTTGTTTTCCCAACTCCGCCCATACCATACATACCCATAATACCAACTCCATCTTTCATGAGATGTTTCCATGCCTTATCGAGCATTGCTTCTTGACCAACAATTATCGTGGAACTTGTATTTCCTCTATCACAGCTGTGTCAGCTTTATTAACTACTTGATCAGTAACATTTTGGAAAACTCTATTTTCGAGTTGCACAACATCTATCAACGACAAGAAAACCTTTTTCCCGTAACGGTAACTGGATCTTAAACTCTTAGAGCAAAACCCACAAAGACACAACCTTTGAAGTTGAACATCTCTAGCATCAAGAAGAGCATCAACTTTTTGATCCAAAGACTCAACTTTCTTAAGCCATACCTGGAATTCTTCCAGCCTTTGTCCACCTTTATCCTCCTCTCTTGTGGCCTTTCGTAATAAATCATTCCGCTTAGCCTTGAGCTTAACCATGCTGTTCTCCAGAGTGGCGAGATTCTTCTCAAGATCGTGAATATAACCAACTTTCTTGTCTAGCCATTGAGAGATTTTATCCATCCACTCATCACAGGATATCGAGCAAGTGATTAAATTCCCCATTTTACAGAAAGGGAGAAATCTGAAATCTGAAATTTGCTGATATGAGCAAACCAGAGACAATGCAGAGAATAATTGAAGATAAGACTTTCTTTCACGTCCACAATTCTCGACCAAGTGAGTCCAAATCACTGATTTTTCTTGGAAATGTTTGCTTATTTGATATCCATAATTCTCACGTTCACACATTTTGGTTGTTGACTTTGGTGGGACATACTAATCACAAAGTCGCTCTCCATGGCAAACCAAAGACGAAGAAGACTTAATATTTAATCCTTAATCCTTGTTACAATAAGCTTTTAATGATAAGCGTGATTATTCAGTCCCCAATCGAATATTTGATCAAAACCATTTACAGTATGCCACATTTGAAGCCTTATAGGAATTCATAAGCGATTTACACACTGTTTGGGGATTGACCAAGTGAGAATCTCTGTAAATTATGTTTCTCCATGTGAGACCAAATTCAAACGAAAACACGTTCATGTATGGGAAGATCATCACTTGGTTGATGAAGCTAACCAAGACTTGCCTTTGTATATATCAACCAAAAGATGATATAATATCTAAGACTATACGGTAAGTTAATTCTCTATAAAGGTGGTGTACCTCTGAATCAACAATGAATAAGCACTAGGTATTATCAGTTAAAAATCTGGCGCTAAGAGTAAAACAAACCATATTTAACAATATGAAAATGCCTTAGAGAAGAACAAGATCCCATTACGCCACACGCTACTCTGCTTCTGCTTCATAGTCATATTCTTCATCATAATAAGGATCTTCAAGTCTTTCTTTTTTGTACTTGGCTTCTTCTTCTTCTTCTTCAAGTCTTCTGGCCTCTCTAAAACCTTGTAGCCTTACTAGAATGGCAGCAGCATCCTCCTTGCGAGCACGAGATTCATTGCCAGCCTCAACTCCTCCAGGGTAATAATCCAACTCCTGCTTGACAAGCAAAAGAGAAAATTAACAAGTGAGAATGGGAAAGAATCAAATATGTAGTTAGACAATGACAAGGTTTCTTTTGGGGATAGATGCTTACTTCAAGTGCATGTTCTTTACTGAGGATATGCTTGGTGAAACTTTCAAAGCCTAAGAGACCAAGACAGCATCCTGAGCAATAAAATGTAGTTTTACCCGTTGTTCCACTGCACTCCTTCTTGGCCTCTGTTGGAGAAAAAAAACAAAACAAAAAAGAGCTTAATTTGGTGTGTGTTTGAGAGAGAGCGAGAGAGAGAGAGAGAGGAACACACCTGCACGTAAGCTCGCGAGTAAGCTTTCCCAGAGGAAGCACCCTGCACGCCTAGCGAAGACGGTGGGCTCTAGTTGACGATCATATGGAACTTTTGAGCCAAGAACATAGTATTTCTCCGATAGATCGGCAATAAACTGACCGAAGATCCTCTGAAGGGATATGAGCATGACATTAGCCGGAGGCGAATTATCCGACTTCCACATGTACACACTAGTCATAATAGATTTGTTATCTGTTCCAGAAAAAACAATACTTAAGACTCTGTAAAAACACACCAAAAGCAAGGAAAAAAGGTAAAGAGAGTTGAATCTAAAACACTTACACATGGTGGGGTCGTGGGGACGTGATGAAGGTTGATCCCAGTGGAAGAGAGGGCTCGAAGGACGTCAATAGGGACTTGTGATAGTATGCCAATGGCGGTGATGGTGAGATTACCGTTGTAACCTAAACTCTTCAATGCCCGTCTTATAAACGGACCCACACGACGAGCATCAACGTCGGAGGGAACAGGACACCTGCTTAGGTCCCACAAGACCCATGTTGCAAATTTGCAATATCAGCTTGCCTCTTCGTCGCCGCCTTAAGGTCCATCATCGTTCACCCTAATGAACGTAAACTAACGTAGGGTTTTATCAGAAGTAAAACATGTTACACATGTACGTAGAATAATATAACAACTCATTCGCATGATGAAGAAATATAAGGAACTAAACCGATTGGCACAAGGCTGAAAGCTGAAAGCTGAAAGGTGTTATTTGGGTTATTTGGTGTTAGGAAAGAGATCCTTATCATTAAAGCTTAAATATCTGATACACCAACAAATTAAAAAAAAATTTGCTCTGTTCTAATTTATACATTAGGAAAGTGTCTAATTGCTCCATTACACTGATATTATCTTATTTGTCCATACATTAAACCCGGTTTAGTTCTGGTTTTGATAAAAAATTTGATCCGTCGGTCGAAGCAACTTTGGTGGGCCATTTTAATTACCGAATCTCGTAAAAACCCATATGGCATCTTCGTCATCAATCAAATCACGCCACGTGGCTGTAATCGGAGCTGGAGCCGCCGGACTAGTGGCGGCGAGAGAGCTTCGACGAGAAGGTCACTCCGTCGTCGTTTTCGAGAGGCAGAAACAGGTCGGAGGAACCTGGATCTACACCGATCACGTCGAGTCCGATCAGTTAAGCGTCGACCCGACCCGAATCGTCGTTCACTCGAGCGTGTATGGCTCTCTCCGAACTAACCTTCCTCGAGAATGTATGGGATTCAGAGACTTCCCATTCGCGATCCGATCCGAATCAATTGATCCGAGAAGGTTTCCGAGTCACCCTGAAGTTCTAGCGTATCTGCAGGATTTCGCTAAGGAGTTTGGCATCGAGAAGCTGATCCGGTTCGAGACGACGGTCGTGCGCGTTTCTCCGGCGGCGGAAAGCGACGGCGGAGAAGGAATCGGAAAATGGAGAATCGAATCTACAGAGAAGGAGAAGAAAATTCATCGCGATGAGATTTACGATGCAGTTGTTGTTTGTAATGGACATTACATTGAACCTCGTCTCGCTGAAATTCCTGGTAAATTCTCAACATCTCGATTCTCCATAGTAAAGCTTGCTCCATCGAAAAACTTAGGATCGGATTTGAAAAATAGAAACTTCATAAAAACATTGAATCATTTTAGGGATAAGTTGTTGGCCAGGGAAGGAGATGCATAGCCATAACTATCGTCTTCCTTCACCATTCAAAGATCAGGTACTCAATTTTATTTTCAAAATTTCAGATATAATGATTCATTTTCATGGTGGAGAAGAGAATTGTGATACATTTTGAATCATAGGTTGTTGTGGTTATTGGAAGCTCTGCGAGTGCTGTTGACATAAGCAGAGACATTTCCGGGTTTGCCAAAGAGGTTCATGTGGCTTCTTGGTCAAATCCAGCTGATACTTTTATCAAGCAGAACGGTTACACTAACATATGGATGCATTCAATGGTGAGTTTCGCTACTACTTACCGTTGGTTCGATCGAGAGATGAACAACAGTTCTTGAAACGTTTTCTTGAATCTTTATGCAGATTGAGCGTGTCCATGAGGATGGTTCTGCGGTTTTTCAGAACGGGAAAACGGTTTTGGGTGATGTTATAATGCATTGCACTGGTTATAAGTATCATTTTCCGTTTCTTGAAACCAATGGAGAAGTTACTGTTGATGATAACTGTGTTGGACCATTGTACAAACATGTCTTTCCTCCAGCATTAGCACCGTCGCTCTCCTTCGTCGGGATACCATATAGGGTACAAAAGCTCTATATCATTCCTCTCAAGTTTTTTTTTCTTATCAAATTTGGATCTTTCAGGTTTTACCATTTCCTATGTTTGAGCTGCAAAGCAAGTGGATCTCGGGTATTTTGTCGGGTCGGGAAACCAAAACCATGAAGGCCACATTTGAAGGCTTGGGGATTCCTAAGCGATTTACGCACTGTTTGGGGATTGACCAAGTAAGAAGAGTCTCTGTAACTTATGTTTCTCCTTGTGCGACCAAATCCAAACGAAAACATGTTAAATGTTGTTTACTTTTGTGTTGTTTGTTTGACAGTTTGAGTACTATGATTGGTTGGGTTCACAAATTGGGTGCTCAGGAACAGAGGAGTGGAGGAAAGAGATGAGTTTGCCTATTTTCTTGAGGAAGATGAAACATCCGGAGAGTTATAGAGACGAATGGGAAGATCATCACTTGGTTGATCAAGCTTACCAAGATTTCTCTTTGTACATATCAACCAAAAGATGAGATTTTGTAAAATCAAATTATATCTTTGCTTTGTATCAGAATGCCTCTATTGATCAATGTACAAACTATATTCATAAGATTGCAAATGTTTGGAATTGCACAGGGCTTATGAAAAGGAACAGTCACTGAATCTTCACTTATACTAACTTTCAGACTTGGAACAAACATAAGCCACGTCAAGTCATTTAACTCCCATATGTACACTTTCTTGGCTGCAACAGATCCAAAACAACTAGCTTCGACAAGTCCCGTAACTCTTAGAACAAAACCAACAAAGAGACAACCTTTGACTATCAACAGTTTTTAGTACTAAGTAGATCATTAACTTGGCTTTCGATAGTATCAACTCTAGTCTAGTCAACCATACCACACAATTTATCAAACACAAGGGAAGCGAAGTAATTAAGAGATACAACCTTTTAATTTTCTTAATCGATCATCCTCCCAATATAATCAAATCAATGGGAGAACAATCATACTCCGGTCTCACGGTCTGTAATCTGTTTAATCAACCATGTAAGAAACATAATGTTGCTCCTGTGAGATCCAAATCTGAAACAAAAGCAAAACGGAAACAGATTTTATATGTAATTTTTGGTGTGTGTACTTTTTTACAGTTTGAGTACAATGATTGGTTGGCTTCACAATATGGGTGCTCAGGAACAGAGGAGTGGAGGAAAGAGATGTTTTTGACGAGTTTCATGAGCAAGATGGATGGGAAGATCATCATCACTTGGTTGCTCAAGCTTATCAAGATTTCTCTATGTATATTGTAAATAAAGATGAAAGCTTGTATTTCGTGTACAGCTCATCATCCTGTGAGAGCTTAAGAACTGAACCAAACCTGAATATATAACCAATTCCTATGGTTAATATCTCTAATCTTGCCAAGACTTGTAACTCCTCCACCGTGTTGAGATCTAATGAAACACCAGAACCTCACAATCTCAACACCTTCAAATATAGTAGACTTGACACCCCAAACGGCCCAACGATACTCGAAAGTTTCCACGTGAAACTCCAGATTTAAGTGAAGTAACTTCTTCAAACTCTTGTAGAAGCCGAGAGGTATATTTCAAATGTTTTTGACATGTTGAGATACTGCAAAGAAACCAGCTCTGATATTCCTTGTAGACTCTCTCCGAGAGATTTCTGTCATACAACATATCCAAAACAAACTAGTTTCCCATATTTTAGACAAACAAGAGAGATCCATAGAGCAATTTGGTTTGATTAAAGTCAAAAGGAAAATATTACACAGCAGAAAACTTCAAACGAAACCATTGTATGAATGTTGATGCAAATAAGAAAATATAACTCACAGAGAGCAACACACACAGAGTGATAGTGATTTTGAGAGAAGAGAAGAGAGAAAAGCTTTTTGGAACAAAGGCAAATGGCATCTACAACTTCCAAGGAGCTGCATCAGAAGATACCTGTTATATGTTACATCCTTATACTGTAACAAAAACAAAAAGACAGAGGCATTAAAAAAATGGAAGCAGTTCATAACCGAAGAAAAATCATATGAAAACAAATAAGAGAATACGAAAATTATACCAATTTGCATGAAGATAAGAAGCGAGTTTTGGTAGCTTCGTCCTCCCATTCCACACCTTCAATCCAACTTTCCTCTGTATTCTAAGACGAGTCCATTTTCACCATGCATGCCACTTTGAGAATCCAGTGGAAGCTTTTTCAGATTTGGACAATTCTTACATTGAATTTTAGACATGGAAAGCGTAGAGGACTCCAATAGATATTCTTTAGCTTCGGTAGATCCCCAACTGAGAGAAACCAGCTTTGCAAAAGGAACAATCCCTGATTCTCCACCTTCACAAGCTTTCTCTTTGTTTATTATATCTTCTAGTTGATCTGCACAACATAAGTTCTTTAAGATTTGAAGCAAACATCAGCAACGTCAGCTCCCTCAGGCATCTGCAATTATATATACACTTGGAGAGGCTCAAGAAGCATGGCTCTTTCGGATTGTGTAGAGGAGAAACCGTCTTGCTTTTGTTGCATATACTTCCCATCTTTATCTCAGAGATAGTGCAGCGCTAATGCTGAAATAACGAGCTTGTTCATGGTTACTGGAATTGCTATTCCAGTTGATTCCAATTTCAGATCTCAGAAATCGTGTACAACTCGTCAACCTGTGAGAGCTAAAAATAGCTCCAGAGGTGGATACACATCGATGTCTATGGTTAAAATTTCTAAATGCTCCAAGGTTTCTAATTCCTCCACTATGCCGCGATCCCATGAAAAGCCACTTCCAGCTAAATTCAGTATCATCAAATTATGCAGATTTGATATCCCAGCAATACTCGAAAGCTTATGTGTATACCGAGATCCAAGTGGATGAGTTTTTTCAACTCTTGTAGACCCTTAGGGAGATGACGTATACCAGTATCTGACAAGTTGAGATACTTGCAAGGAAACTAAATCAGATACTCCATCCGGCACTTTGGTGAGATTTTATTAAATGATAGATCCAACACCTGTAGCTTCGGCATGGACTTGAAGAATTCACTCGAGATATTTACCAATTCTCCCCGTTGCATGAGAAAAGCTGTGAGTTCGAGACATTCAGGACTGCCAGCTAGATTGCGAATCTTATTCTTCATCAGTGACATCTTCTCACACTGTTCCAATTCTTAACCTTTGGAATTTCACTTAACCCTACACCTGCATGCACAATGAAAGCCTCCTTTTCTCTTCCCAATTCAGATGCAATCCACAATGCCATTTCGCGAACAACATCATGCATACGCACACTTCTGTTCCATATTGTCCATCCTCTTCCATCAACAAAGATGCACGAACAAGATCACCAATTATCTCATACCCCTTGTTCTCAGCCCTCTCTATACCTTCACTTCCATCTATAATACCTTCGCCTATCAAGTAGTCTATCAAATTCTTTTTAGAAATCAGATCATCTTCTGGAAATAAAGCACAATACAGCAAACATGATTTGACATCCTCGCCCTTAAGATTATCGTAGCTATACTTCAAAAGCGGAAGGATCTTATCTTCCATGCCAGAAAACTCTGTAGCGTACGAAGTCAAAACATTTATCGCGTGACGCCATTCTTCCACCCTTCTCTTGCATGACATGGTCTCCCCTATGACATTGAGCGCCAATGGAAGGCCACCACATTTTTAGCAACTCTTTTGCAAGCTCAGGGATCTCTGGATCGCTTCCTAATGTTCTTTCTCCAACCTTCTTTTGGAACAAATCAAATGCTTCATTTTCCGCCAAACATTGGACTTCCATTGTTCTTCAACCCTCATGTGCGCACATACTCTTGGGAACGAGTGGTGAAGACTACTTTGCATCGGTTTTGTGGTGCTGGAAATGGGACTCCAATCTCTATTAATCCACCTTCTCCCATATGTCATCTAGAAACAACAAAATCTCTTTTTCTTCAAGAAATTGTATAAATCTTTGGTCTTTTGGCTCTTCTCTTTTTTCTCCCATCTCTCCACCAAGACCAATTTTCCCAGCGACTTCATCTTGAATCTTCTCTACATGTAACTCTTTAGACACCACAACCCAAATCACAAAATCAAATCCACACCTTTCTTCACTGAACTTATTGTTGAGCTGTGTGAGAAGTGTTGTTTTTCCTACTCCGCCCATACCATACATACCCATAGTTCCAACTCTATCTTCCTTGAGATGTTTCCATGCCTTCTTTGAGCATTGCTTCTTGACCAACAATTATCTGTTGAGGTTGTATTTCCTCTATCACAGCTGACTCAGCTTGATCAGTAACCTTTTGAAAAACTATACTACGGAGTTCCTCAACCTCCTTCAACGTCAAGAAAACCTTTTTCCCGTAACGATAACTGGATCTTAAACTCTTAGAGCAAAACCCACAAAGACACAGCCTTTGAAGTTCATCATCTCTAGCACTAAGAAGATCATTGACTTTTTTTCGATAGTCTCAACTCTCTTAAGCCATACCTCGATTTCGGCAAGCCTTTGCTGACGTCTATCCTCCTCCTCTCTTGTGACCCTTCTTGACAAATCATCACGCTTAGCCTTGAGCTCTTCCATGGTTGTCACCAGAGCCTGAGATTCTCTCAGATTATGTATATAACCTACTTTCTTGTCAATCCAGTTAGAGATTTTATATACACGGATCACAAGGTACGGAGAAAGGTTGCCCATTTTGCTGAAAGGAAAAGAGACTTAGATTTGAGAATTTTACTGATGTGAGCAAACCGGAGAAGATGCAAAGAATAATTGAAGTCTGAAGATAAGTCTTTCTTCTCCTCCACAATCCTCCGATCGATGGGTCCAAATCACTGATTTTTCTTGGAAATTTTGCTTATTGATTTCCATAATTCTCACGTTCACACACTTGGTTTGACTTTGGTGGGGCAATGGGCATATATACTAATCACCGAACAAGAACAACACTTGAGAATCTTCGTTGATAATTAATTGAAATTCCTGATAATTAACTTCCTTTGATAATTAATTCCATAATAACGGTTGTTGACGTTGGTGGGACATATATAGTTGACTGAAGAAGAAAACTTGAGACTTACGTAAAATCCAATTCCCACCAGAGCTTCGGCGGGAACGTAACTCGGTGGTCGTCTTCAAGAGGAACAGAAACCTCCATCATGTCAACCTGATGGAGAGCGGAAGCTAGATAAACTCGATGATCGTTGATTCCCAAGAATAGCCGTTCAAACGAGGGTTCTTGATAATCGTTGATTCTCAAAGAATACCGATAACAAGGATAAGATGAACTGAAAAGTTCTATGTTTATTCAATAATCATAAGCTGTCTTACAATAGAACCTAGTGGCTAACTTATATACTTAAACGAAACCCCTAACGTAGTTAAGAAACAGAGTCGAAAGCCCAAATGAAAGAAAAGCCCAATAACAAATAAAAGGCAACATCACGGTGAAGATCATGGAGACATGATCGAGTGAAGATGCGCTGCATCAGGTCCCCCGGGGTAAGAAAAGATTCGTCCTCGAATCTGGATCATTGTCAAAGCAGGCAAGCGGAATTACTCCACCAACAATAGCAGATCAAATACACACGCACAGATGTTGTTACACTAACGGTAACGTAGCTTGGGACATTGAGTGTTGGGAAGTGAACACCAATCCTCATTTTGGAGACTAAAACTGTATATTCCACCAATAGTTGTAGAAATGTCAACAAAGAACTCCAACTGCGTGATTCGCATGACAAGTCCTTCACAATGACGAAGACAATAAAACCTAGTTTGCTTGGTGCAAAATCAGCCACAAAACACCACAAAACCACCCATATTGGCTTCGGCTGGTCACGTATACATCCCTTGTCCACGTTTGAGAACGCTGATTGCTCAAGCACCTCGATTAAGCTCAAATGTAACGCCTCCTTACTATGAACTTTCGTAACATCGTAAGAGAATCCCACTGGTGAGATATGAACATTGCTCTTTCTCTTTAAAGAAGCTTCATATGGTAACTGATATTGGGACGGCCTAGTAGAACAAAACAAAAGCTCTTGTAAATCTCCAAAACTGAGTTTCCCTAGGATCTTCAGAACAAGCCGACGAATACAACTACATGGTCGCATCCAATGACGAAACCACTTTGTAACCAGCGAGTGCCAAATGTAACTACAAACCTCAACGTTCACAGAAATTATCCATGCGAGAAGATGCATGTTGTTCGTTTGGTCTGAAACGTGAATATCATACTCATGTGACCCAAAAGCAACGTCCACTCGCCTCAAACCCCTTGCGATGTCATAAGAGAGTCTAAATCGAGTCGTACGCATAGCTCCATATACTCTGTTATAAACGTCATAGTAGAAGCCACGTCGTAACGGAGTGAGAAAGAAGAATCTCCACTGCACCGTTGTGAACCTTGGAGGCAGGGAAAACATCATGTTTTGATCCCAAAGCGGACGCTTAAAGGAAAACTCTTTCCAGCAAATTACCATGTCGTCGACTACAAGATATTCCAGCTGAAATCCATGATGAGAAGAGTAAGGTAAAGAATAATGCGAACTCCAGACTTCCGTAAGCTTCAAGTCAAAAAGCTCCAAGAAAAGACAATGATCATAAGAAGTCACATCTTCACAATTTAGATCCCACTCAACGCACGTGTATCTCATTATGTTCCCAAAGAGATCCACCGTTGCCAACACATAAAGATTTTCCTGCCATGTGGCTTGTAAAGCAACAATTTGCTTTATTAATTCCCACGTGATAATGGACAATCCATTGCATGGTGGTAATAGCAAAATAGAGGTGTTGCAACAGACATGAAAAACAGAGCTATCGTAAAACAATAACTTGGGTGATTGACAGATAACCTCACGCCATTGAATATATGTATTAGACGTGTCTTGATAAACCCATATTGTGTGACACAAAACAGCCATTTTCCACGTTAAATTTCCACATTGCAACCCACAAAGCCACAAAACGGTCGGAAAGAACACAATTGGCATGATCGTAGACGTGAAAAGGAGAAGCCCAAAAGCTTTGGGATTCCATGGTGGCCACAAAAACTTGAGCTCCTCTTTACTAGCCATGGTAGCGGCACCTTGAGACATTAAGAACCAGAAAAGAGAGAACAAACAAGTAGTTTGTGGGACTTTCACAAGCGGTGCTTCACCAATGTCACTGTGAATTGAAAACTCCACGGAAAACACCACACTACGCATAAGAAAAACCCACTTGACTATGATCTTGTGCTTCCATTTTCCCCCAAAACAAATGTAATCATGCATGAGACCAAACATGCGCAGATGTAGTAGATACGGCACATTCAACATAGCGGCAAGTATTAAGAGATCTTTCAAAGTATTTGTGTGTTCCACAAAACAAGTCGAGCATATAGTGTTCACGTTGGCTAAATTCCCTGAAGTATCCACATAAGATTTCATGTCATGCAAGAGAAAATCTTTATCTGGCTCCACAGAAAGACTTTCACGTTGGGTGCTTCGAAGAAATTGGTAGTAGTGTAAATATGATATCCTTGAGAAAGCTCCATTAATGAGTACGGCATCGGAGAAATCAATTACCACCTTCAAAACAAGCCAGCAAATAGAACTATCCCATCTTGTCCGTGAATGTAACCATTGCGAGACCAGCTCGTGTCGTACATAACGACCAACATCAAAGTCGTCTAGTATTAACCATGCGAGAATAAGCTGAAAACCAGAGCCGTCAAAACCAATGTGAAAAATATAGCTAGAGCAAAACGGCGACTCTCTGCTTGAACCCCTGTCCACAATCGAGTGATCTAATACAAGAACATCTACTCCACTCATTGTGACAAAATTTGTGTAACCCAAACCAAAATCCGAAGTATGGACATGTGTACTCATCAGTGAAACGAGCCTTAGCTTCTCATTAGTAACTTGGATTTTGTCACATTTCGATGAATCATCATAGCCCTTAACCGTGAATTCATCATTACAAACAGTACCAATCGGATCATCTCTATTGACACCAATAAACGGATCACCATAAACCTTGTGGTAGAGATTTTTCTTTTTGAGGTGAAAAGGATTATCACGTTGATAATGATCTGGCGGTTCACGATCTGGTGGTTGGCCATTGATCTGTCGATGATACTGATTAAGATTAAAAAAAATTACCTTGATGTCTTTTAGCTATGTGATTCACCATGTCTTCATGATAAGATGAAAATACGATCCCATCAGTCTTGCATAAAGCAGAATTAATATATTGCTTCCCTTGACCTACATTCGTATCTTCGTCCTCCTCACCAAGTTTATTTATTACTTGAACATATTCTGCTGGTCCAAGTTTTACGTCTTCCTTTCTTTGAATTCCTAAGAACTTGATATACTCTTCATCATAAACATCAAAGATTGGATTTGCATCATCACGGTCATGACAAATCTGATTAGCACCATCAGAATCACAAAGGCGGAAGATCGGATCTGCCTCATCATAGACATCGTAGATTGGAGCTCCATAAAACTCGTTGTAGAGATCTCCTACAGCTTGATAATGGTTCTCGTCGTCAATTTCTTCAACCTCTTCGTCAAAGATTGAATCATCCCCTTGGAAAAAAATTGGCGGGTGTTGGTTAGCCAAGATTAACGCGTCTAGGGCACTTACCATGGACTCTCGCAACACGTCACACATAGTTTGTTGAAACTCCGCTAGAGCTTCTCGCAAAGCAATAACTTGCTTGTTCCTCTATCGATGTAGTTTATGTCTTGGCGGCATGATAAAAGGACCGAACCTTGATTGAGAAACCAAAGTGCTGTCTCTGGTACCAACTGATGGAGAGCGGAAGCTAGATAAACTCGATGATCGTTGATTCCCAAGAATAGCCGTTCAAACGAGGGTTCTTGATAATCGTTGATTCTCAAAGAATACCGATAACAAGGATAAGATGAACTGAAAAGTTCTATGTTTATTCAATAATCAAAAGCTGTCTTACAATAGAACCTAGTGGCTAACTTATATACTTAAACGAAAACCCTAAAGTAGTTAAGAAACAAAGTCGAAAGCCCAAATGAAAGAAAAGCCCAATAACAAATAAAAGGCAACATCACGGTGAAGATCATGGAGACATGATCGAGTGAAGATGCGCTGCATCACAACCTGGATCCGTTAAGCGTTGACCCGACCTGACCCGACATCTTCGAATACAGAGATCTGATGAGGTTTCCGACGTAGGGATAACTTCTTGGCCAAGGAAGGAGATGCAAAGTCATAATAATTAGCGTATATATTCTTGAAACATTTTAAGATCAGGGTCGCATTTATTCACATATCATAAATAACAATACAGCTAAAAGCATTATTTCTCCTGTAATTCAGAGAGATTTTGATTCTGCGATACATCCAAAACTGCTACTATCAACAAAGAATATGCACATGCACATGCTCAACAACCTTCTTGAGTGATGCATCAAAATGTTATTGTCCACAGACAATTTAATTAGGTATTAATCATATAAGAGAACTTGAGAGACACGCCCACTTCTCTCAATGCCACAGTTTAGTTTTTGATCAAAAGGGACATAGGAAACACGGTGTGAATTAAAAAAAACAAAAATGAATGAAAAGAAGATCCATGCAAGAAACAAACAAGTTTTTTTTGAAAAATATTACATATAATCTCGTTCTTTCCTTTTGCCACATGCACGTACTGGGCCTTGCTGGATCTGCACCGAACTCGGAGCATAAGAGCACATAAGTGGCAGATGATTAGATTCCCTGAGAACAATTATTTCTTTGAAGTATCCATTCTCTTTAACCATGTAAGCTCTGTTGTCGGTTATAACCCAAACCACTACGACTTTCTTGTCTTCATCAATAAAGAAACTCCCACTTTGAACTGTAATGTTTTTTATTTATTGAGATAAGGATAAATATTGGGAATTAGATTTGTTATTATCAAGTTGTATTTGGATTAGGACTACTTATTAGGATAAGGATTGATCTCTTTGTATATATACATGTTGTACACAATCAATACAAGCAACCTTTTCCAAAACGTTTCATGGTATCAGAGCAAGTTTTCCTCACCTGAGCGATTTTTTCTTTTCTCATATACTCTCCGTTCTCTGTTTTCCCGTTAACTCGAAAACATGTCGGCGAGTGAATCTTCTACAATCTCTTCTACAATGTCTTCTACTATGTCTTCTACATTCTCTTCTACAAGTTCCTCAGCTATGTCTACTATTATTCCGAACTACTCCATCTCGGATCCTGCTTACACACTTTATCCTTCGAATAACCCGGGTACTCTGATCACTCCGGTTCTTCTCCGTGGTGATAACTACTCCGAATGGGCTACTAAGCTTTGGAATTCTCTACAAGCTAAACAAAAGATCGGATTCATCGATGGTACTATTGTGAAACCAGAGACGAATCCTGATCTTGCTCGTTGGACTGCTACTAACTCCATGATTGTCGGATGGATACGTACATCCATCGATCCCACGATCAGATCTACTGTTTCTCATGTTCCTGATGCACACAAGCTCTGGAACGCTCTTCAACGTCGGTTTTCCGTCAACAACAGTGTCCACAGACATCTCCTTACTGATGATATCACCAACTGCAGACAGAACGGACAACCAGTTCTAGAGTACTACGGTCGTCTTTCTAAGCTATGGGAAGAGCTTCAGAACTTCCAAACCTCTCGGTCTTGTTCTTGCGATGCATCTGTTGATCTAGAAAGAGAACGAGAGGAGGCTCGGGTTCACAAATTTCTTTTTGGACTCGATGAAGCTCGTTTCAGCTCGATTCGATCTCAAATCATAGACGAAGACCCACTTCCGGATTTGAACTCTGTTTACTCTCGTATTGTACGAGAAGAGCAACATCTCACGATGCGCTCCAAGGATATCAAAAACGAGGCTGTTGGTTTCTCTGTCAAATCGGAGTCACCACATTCATCTACTCCATCTGCTGCAGCTGCTTTTCGTAGTCGTGATCCTGCACGTTCTTGCACCCACTGCAATCGTAAAGGACATGATGTTTCCGAGTGTTTCGCTCTTCATGGATACCCTGAGTGGTTTCTCGAACAGCAAGCTGCACAAGGACGAGGCGCTCCTTCCCAGCGTGGTCGTGGAGGCCGCACAACTACTTCTGCAGGTCGTGGCCGAGGCAGAGCTAACACTACCCGTACAGCTCCTCTCCACGGCACCGATACCTCCATCACCAACGTTGCTCCTTCACATGCCTCAGATCAAATTGCCGCCTTGATCAGCCTCCTTCAGAACCAACAAACCCAGTTATCCATTGATCGTCTGTCTGGTAAAACTAAACTCACTGATGTTATTATCGATACAGGAGCATCACACCATATGACGGGTGATTTATCTCTTTTACGAGATGTACGAGACATCGTTCCCTCTGCGGTTTTGTTTCCGGATGGAAACACTTCTCGTGCGATCAAACTCGGAACCTTGTCTCTCAATGATGATTACTTTCTACGAGATGTTCTTTACATACCAGATTTCAACTGCACCTTGATTTCTGTTTCTAAGCTCCTGAAACAAACAGGATGCATTGCTATCTTTACTGATACTCTATGTGTTGTATAGGATCGTTTCTCGAGGACCCTGATTGGAGCAGGTGAAGAGAGAGAGGGGGTCTACTATTTTACGGGAGTCACGGTCGCGCGGTCCCATCATGCTACAAAGGACAAGACATCTCCTTCTGTGCTTTGGCATCGCAGACTTGGTCATCCCTCCTACAAAGTGTTATCGGCTTTACCCGTGTTCAATAGTTTTAAGTTTGATTTCAGTCATGTGAATTCGTGTGACATCTGTTTTCGCGCTAAACAAACGCGTGGTGTTTTTCAAGATAGTCTTAATAATACGAGTGCTCCTTTTGACTTAATCCATTGTGATGTTTGGGGTCCCTATTGTACGCTTTCTTCTTGTGGTGCTGCATATTTTCTAACCATTGTTGACGACTACTCACGATCTGTTTGGACTTTCTTGATGCTTGAGAAATCAGAAACTAAGGGTCTCATACAGAACTTTTGCGCCATGAGTAGTAGACAGTTCGGGAAACCAGTTAAACGAGTACGTAGTGATAATGGAACAAAGTTTATGGTGCTTTCTACCTTCTTTCGTGAACAGGGTATTGATCACCAAACTTCGTGTGTCGATACGCCTCAACAGAACGGTCGTGTGGAAAGGAAACACAGGCACATTCTCAATGTTGCTCGTGCTTGTCTTTTCCAAGCTCGTTTACCGGTTACCTTCTGGGGAGAAAGCATCCTCACTGCCGCTCACATCATCAATCGCACTCCATCCTCTGTTCTTGACGGTAAAACCCCTTACGAGTTACTACATGGAACACCACCTAAGTATGATTTACTGCGAGTCTTTGGTTGCCTTAGTTATGCACATCGACGCGGAAGAGACAAGGATAAGTTTGGCGATCGCAGCAGGAAGTGTCTCTTCGTCGGTTACCCCTTTGGCAAGAAAGGCTGGCGTCTCTATGATCTTGAAAGGAATGAATTTTTTACAAGCCGAGATGTTATCTTCCTTGAAGACGAGTTTCCAGGAATTCCTGATACTGAGTATGTTTCTCACCCTGTATATCAACCCGATGTTGGCGTCGACGATTGGTTACTTCCTTCTTTATCTACTCCTTCAACGATGGTGAATTCAGCTCCTCCTGCGATTCCCTCAGCTGAAGCTACTCCTATAATACCTACTACTACTGATACAACCGTCACGGCTGATTCTCTTATACCAGCCTCTGTTACTTCTTCTCCAAATTCCCCTGTAACTCCGATAGAAGCTGAGTCTAATGCTACTCCTGAACCTTCATCTCCAGGACTACATCAACTCCTCGGCAGGGGTCATCGTCAACGACAGCCATCAGTTATTCTTAAGAACTTTGTTACCAATACCGCGACTCTCCGTGACACACCCTCTCTCGCTTCATCTACATCCTCTCTTGGTTCTCCAGATTCGATTCCAGGTACACCACTCTACCCTATCTCTAGTGTTTTATCTGATGCGAGTTTCTCTCCTTCTCATAAAGCATTCATCGCGGCTATCACTGCTGCGGTTGAGCCAACAACATACAATGAGGCTATTAGAGATAAGATATGGCGCGAATCAATGAAGGAGGAGGTGTGTGCATTGGAGATCAATAAAACGTGGATTGTTGTTGCATTACCACCAGGGAAGAAATGCCATTGGGAGCAAATGGGTTTTCAAGATAAAGCACCACTCGGATGGCATGATTGCTCGTCATAAATCTCGTTTGGTGGCGCTTGGAAATCGACAAAAGGAAGGTCTTGACTATACAGATACTTTTGCTCCTGTTGCCAAGCCTTCTACAGTTCGTATACTACTTAATATCGCTGCTGCAAAGAATTGGGAAGTCCACCAAATGGACGTTCACAATGCTTTTCTCCATGGCGATTTGGAGGAGGAGGTCTACATGAAGCTTCCGCCTGGCTTCGAGGGATCTGATCCATCTAAGGTCTGTCTCTTGAAGAAGTCTATCTACGGCCTTAAACAGGCTCCTCGGTGCTGGTTCGCTAAGCTCAATTCTGCATTGAAGACTTATGGTTTCAAACAGAGCAAGGCGGATTATTCTCATTTCTGTTTTATCCGCGACAATATTGCTCTTCATATACTGGTCTATGTTGATGATTTTATTGTTGCTGGGAATGATCTGTCTACTATATACAAGTTCAAGGCTTATCTCAGTGAATATTTTCACATGAAGGACTTGGGGAAACTTAAATACTTTCTCGGGATCGAAGTTGCTCGCAATGCTGATGGTTTCTTCTTGTCCCAACGCAAATATGCTCTGGATATACTGGCTGAATCAGGCTTGCTTGCTTCCAAGCCTGCTTTGACACCTATGGAGCTTAATCACAAGCTCTCTCTTGCTACTGGCGAACCTTTGGCCGATCCACAACGTTACCGTCGTCTCGTTGGTCGTCTCATCTACCTTACTTTTACGAGACCGGAACTGTGTTACTCTGTCCACATTCTGTCTCAGTTTATGCAAACACCACTTCAGGCTCACTGGTCCGCTGCTATCCGTGTTGTACGATATCTTAAGGGCTGTCCAGCTCAAGGCGTTCTTCTCCGTTCAGACTCTGACTTACGGGTTACTGCATACTGTGACTCTGATTGGAATGCGTGTCCACTGACTCGCAAGTCCTTGAGGGCTTACATTGTTCTTCTTGGTGCTTCTCCGGTTTCTTGGAAAACGAAGAAGCAGAAAACAGTCTCCATGTCTTCCGCTGAAGCTGAATATCGTTCGATGTCTTTTGCTTTGCGTGAGCTCAAGTGGATCAAACGTTTGTTGACTGCATTTGACGTGTCTCATTCCATGCCAATGAAGTTATTCTGCGACAGCCAATCTGCCATCTACATTGCTGCCAATCCGGTCTTTCACGAGCGTACCAAGCATATCGAGAATGACTGCCACCTTGTACGTGATGCTGTGGAAGAAAAACTCATCACCACGGAACACATTACCACGGACGAGCAACCCGCCGATCTGCTTACCAAGTCACTGCCGGCTCCCACATTCACTTACTTATTGTCCAAGTTGGGGATTCAAGATGTTTCACCGCCAACTTGAGGGAGGGTATTGAGATAAGGATAAATATTGGGAATTAGATTTGTTATTATCAAGTTGTATTTGGACTACTTATTAGGATAAGGATTGATCTCTTTGTATATATACATGTTGTACACAATCAATACAAGTAACCTTTTCCAAATCGTTTCATTATTCGAGACAGGATTGGTTGATCCTTTACCACCATGAACTTCTTCCAAGATGCTGCATCAGGCTCGATCTTATCTGTAATCCATACCTCCATCACATTTGTATCCTTGCGCATAAGCATCACTGAAATCTTCTCTTCTCTAACAGAAGATAGAGTCTGCATATCGTTTCTAACATCAAACGGTAGATAAAGACGCGGTCCAAATCTCTCTCTTGTAAAATCAAAACAGAGCAAAAAAACTTCTTTCTCTTCTAATCTTCCCCGAGAAAGAAAGTACGTATTTCCCTTCAAAGATATACTGCCTTGATAATAATCTATATGCCAATTATCGGGAGTGACACCAACAACCCTCCATAAATTGGACTTAAAATTATAGATGTGATAATTAATAATTCGTTCGTTAGTAACCAATCAAAAACCTCAAAATTTTGTAGTTGTTGTTGCTCTGATCATATCCAATAGAGTAGTTATCCGACATGTAGAATTCTTTTCTTGGTTCCATACCACAAGCTTGGAGTCCCTTGTGCGGCATAACAATAAGCCGTCTCAGTGAAATACGTTACTTATCACGACTTGATTAAAGAAGCGTCTCAGTGAAATACGTTACTTATCACGACTTGATTAAAGAAGTTACCTATCTTCTTCGCAGATGGAACAACCGAGTCTTCGTGGTTATGGATTCGATGAAGATTAATACTTGTTAAACTAACCACACGACCATAAATCATAATCATCAGAAACCCTTTGGGTGCTTTACTTAATTGCTTCTATCTAAAGCTGTGAACTTTGGTTAAATCGTTCCATCCTTTGCATGTGGACCTCACCTCTCTCAGAAAAGGTATCGGAACCGTAGAGAGTATCTCCTCTTCCAAATCATGCGGAAGATTGGACATCATCCTCATCTTTTGTCAAATAAAAATTAGGGTTCGTAACTTGCCATGCACTCTTCTTATATATACAAAGAGACATCTTCCGCTTTTAAAAAACAAAAAACCGTTTCCTTTGCCTAAGAAGTTCATGTGGCTTCTTGGTCAAATCCAGCTGATACATACATCAATCAAACTAGTCACACTAACCTGTGGATGCATTCAATGGTGAGTAATAGCTCCTGAGTAGTATAGACTATAGTAGCACTTAAAATCAAACGAAAATATTACACAGCTAATCTGGTTTTATTAAAATTAAACGAAAATATTACACAGCTAATCAAATATTACACAGCGGAAAACAATCCAATCAACTTCAAACGTAAACATTGTATAAATGTTGATGCAAATAAGGAAAAAAAAAAAAAAAAAAAAAAAAAACAGAGAGAGAGATTATCTTTGGATCAAAGACAAAATGGCATCTTCAACTTCCAACGAGCTGCATTAGCATTAGAATCCTCCTTAACTTCTTCTTCTTCTTCTTCACGTCTTTCTAACACAGTTTAGCCTTGATAGCATGAGTTTAGCACCTTCCTAGCAAGCACGAGATATGGATGAATGTTGAGTTCAAATATAGCTCCAGATCTGGATGAATGTTGAGTTCTATGCCTAACGTTTCTAAATGCATCAAGGTTTCTAATTCTTCTACTATGTTGCGATCCCATGAAAAACCACACACAGTTAAATTCAACATCCTCAAATTATGCAGTTTTGATATCCCATCAATACTCCTAAGCTGATCTGTGTCCCCGAGATCCAAGTGAATGAGTTTTTTCAACTCTTGTAGACCCTTAGGGAGATGACGGATACCGAGTCCATGACAAGTTGAGATACTTCAAAGAAACTAAATCAGATACATCTGGCAAGTTGGTGAGCTGTTCATTATCTGATAGATCCAACACAAGTAGCTTCGCATGGACTTGAAGAATTCACTCGAGATATTTACAGATCTCCCCGTTGCATGAGAAAAGTTGTTGAGTTGGAGACATTCAGGACTGCCAGCGAGATTGTGAATCTTATTCTGCATCAGTGACATCCTTCTCACAGTGCTCCAATTCTAACCTTTGGAATTTCACTTAACCCTACACCTGCATGCACAATGAAAGCCTCCTTTTCTCTTCCCAATTCAGATGCAATCCACAAGGCCATTTCGCGAACAACATCATGCATACGCACTCGTCTTGTTCCATCCTTCTCAGCCTCTTCCATCAACAATGATGCACGAACAAGATCACCAATTATCTCATACCCCTTGTTCTCAGCCCTTTCTATACCTTTACTTCCATCTATAATATCTTCGCATATCAGTAGCCTATCAATTTCTCTTACAAATCTCGTTAGCTTCTGGAAATAAGCACAATACAGCAAACATGATTTGACATCCTCAGCCTTAAGGTTATCGTAGCTATACTTCAAAAGAGAAGGATCTTATCTTCCATGCCAGAAAACTCTGTAGCGTACGAACTCAAAACATCTTTAGCGCCATTCTTGAACCGTTGTCTTGCATGACATGGTCTCGCCTATGACATTGAGTGCCAATGGTAGGCCACCACATTTTCTAGAAACTATTCTTGCAAGCTCAGGGATCTCCTGATCACTTCCTAATGTTTCTTGCCCAACCTTCTTTTGGAACAAATCAAATGCTTCATTTTCCGCCAAGCATTTGACTTCCATCGGGTCTTCAACCCCCATGGGCTTACATACGTCTTGGCGACGAGTGGTGAAGACTACTTTGCATCGGTTTTCTGGTGCTGGAAACGGGACTCCAATCTCTGTTAAATCCACCTTCTCCCATATGTCATCTAGAAACAACACAAATCTCTTTTTCCTTAAGAATTTGAATAAAACATCGGTCTTTTGGCTCTTGTCTTTTTGTTTCCAATCCTCTCCATCAAGACCAATTTTCTGAGCGATGTCATTTTGAATCTTCTCAACATGTAACTCTTTAGACACCACAACCCAAATCACAAAATCAGATCCACACCTTTCTTCAATGAACTTATTGTTGATTTGCTTGAGAAGTGTTGTTTTCCCAACTCCGCCCATTCCATACATACCCATGGTACCAACTCATTTCCTTGAGATGTTTCCATGCCTCATCGACCATTGTTTTTTGACCAACAATTATCTGTTGAACTTGTATTTCCTCCACCTTGGATGTTTGAGCTTGCCCAGAAACCTCTCCAAATTCTCTACTCGAAGTTCCTCAACCTCCGTCAACGACAAAAAAACCTTTTTCCCATAACGGTAACTAGATCTTAAACTCTTAGAGCAAAACCCACAAAGACATAGCCTTTGAAGTTGAACACCTCTAGCATCAAGAAGACCATCAACTCTATTTTCCAAAAACTCAACTTTACTATGCCATACCTGGAATTCTTCAAGCTTTTGTCGACCTCTATCCTCCTCCTCTCTTGTGGCCTTTCTCAATAAATCATTCCGCTTCGCCTTGAGATCTGCCATGTTAGCCTCCAGAGTGGCGAGATTCTTCTCAAGATTGTGAATGTAACCAACTTTCTTGTCTACCCATTGAGAGACTTTATTCATCCACACATCACAGGGTATCGAGCAAGAGATTAATTCCCCATTTTACAAAAAAAGGGAGAAATCTGAAATACTGATCTGAGCAAACTAGAGAGGATGCAGAGAATAATTGAAGAAGATAAGACCTTCTTTCACGTCCACAATTCTCGATCGAGTGAGTCCAAATCACTGACTTTTCTTGGAAATTTTGCTGATTTAAATCCATAATTATCACATTCACATATCACAAAGTGGGGCATACTAATCATAAAGTCTCTACATGGCTAACCGAAGAAGAACATTAATCAAAAGAGAGACAGGTTCTTGTAAGGGTTGACTTTGTTGTTGACTTGGTGGGACATACAAATTACAAAGTCTCTCCATTGCTAACCGAAGAAGAGCACTTGAGAATCTCGTACGAGCCCAATCACCCAATCAGATCGCACCAAGTTGCAGTCATCGGCACCGGAGCCGCCCGGGAAGGTCACTCGGTGGTCGTCTTCGAGAGGAAGAATCTGGTGGAAAAAAAAAACCTGGATTCACTGTAATTACGTCGTGTCCGATCCGTTAAGATACGACCCGACCCGACCCGACTTGGTAATCACTCGAGCGTCTATAGCTCTCTCCGAACTAACCTTTCCTCAAGAGTCTATGGGATTCAACACTTTCAATACTGCAACTCCCAATGCTGAGATCACGAAGCTTCTCCGTAGTTACTGGAAGTGATATTCCAGATGCATGTTCCTGGTCTTTCGATATCTTTTACAACACGTCAACCTATGAGATCTCAAAATCTCAAGATCTTGACGATAATTGATTGCTGTGAAAAAAAAATTCTAGATTTTCCAAAAAAAATTCCAACTCTTCCACTGCACTTTTAGATCCCATGAAAAACAAAAGGGAAACCAAACAATTGATTTTGAAATCCCAACAAGGCAACAATACTCGCAAGTGTTTGAGTTTTTTTCAACTCTAGTAGACCCTTAGGCAAGTTAGGTATACCAGAAGTCGAGAACCTGATAAGTTGAGATAGTGCAAAGAACCTAGGTTTGATATTCCCTCAGGCATTTCAGAGAGAATTTGATTCTGTGATAGATCAAAAACGGCTAGCTTTGGCATGTATTTTACTAATTATGCCCAGATATTTGACAAATTCATCATTTGCAGGAGCAAAGTTGTGAGTTTGATACATTTAGGACTCCCAAAGAGACATCATCACTTGGTTGCTCAAGCTTATCAGGATTTCTCTTTGTATATATCAACCAAAATATGAGATTATGTAAAATCAAATAAGATTTGATCAATGCGTTTATTGATCAATGTACGAAGTACAACTATACTAATATTCGTATATCAATGCTTCAGATTGCAAATGCTCTGATATTCCTTGTAGACTCTCCGAGAGATTTCTGACATACAACATATCCAAAACAAACTAGTTTCCCATATTTTAGACAAACAAGAGAGATCCAGAGAGCAATTTGGTTTGATTAAAGTCAAAAGGAAAATATTACAAGCTAATCAAATATTACACAGCAGAAAACTTCAAACGAAACCATTGTATGAATGTTGATGCAAATAAGAAAATATAACTCACAGAGAGCAACACACACAGAGTGATAGTGATTTAGAGAGAAGAGAAGAGAGAAAAGCTTTTTGGAATCAAAGGCAAATGGCATCTACAACTTCCAAGGAGCTGCATCAGAAGATACCTGTTATACCTTGTGGCTACAATCCAAACTATACTGTAGGCATTAAAAAAAAAGTAATCAGTTCATACACCCGAAGAAAAATCATATGAAAACAAATAAGAGAATACGAGAAATTATACCAATTTGCATGAAGATAAGAAGCGAGATTTGGTAGCTTCGTCCTCCCATTCCACACCTTCAATCCAACTTTCCTCTTTGTATTAAGACGAGTCCATTTTCACCATGACCACTTTGAGAATCCAGTGGAAGCTTTTTCAGATTTGGACATTCATTACATTGAATTCCTTTAGACATGGAAAGCGTAGAGGACTCCAATAGATATTCTTTAGCTCCGGTAGACTCCCAACTAAGAGAAACCAGCTTTGCAAAAGGAACAATCCCTGATTCTCCACCTTCACAAGCTTTCTCTTTGTTTATTATATCTTCTAGTTGATCTGCACCAACATGAAGTTCTTTAAGATTTGAAGCAAACATCAGCAACGTCAGCTCCCTCAGCATTGCAACTTATTATATCACTTTGGAGAGGCTCAAGAAGCATGGCTCGCTCGGATTGTGTAGAGGAGAAACCGTCTTGCTTTTGTTGCATATACTTCCCATCTTTATCTCAGAGATAGTGCAGTTGTAATGCCGAAAAACGACGCAGCTTGTTCATGGTTACTGGAATGCTATTCCAGTTGATTCCAATTTCGAGATCCCAGAAATCGTGTACAACTCGTCAACCTGAGAGCTTAAAAATAGCTCCAGAGGTGGATACACATCGATGCTATGGTTAAAATTTCTAAATGCTCCAAGGTTTCTAATTCCTCCACTATGCCGCGATCCCATGAAAAGCCACTTCCAGCTAAATTCAGTATCATCAAATTATGCAGATTTGATATCCCAGCAATACTCGAAAGCTGATTTTATTGAGATACATTCACATGATTCGGTATCTCAGAAACATTGGGCTGCACGTAATTGATTTATCTAGTTACCTTAAGTTCATCTTGTACATTCAATTGTGATTGCCTCTGTTACGGCAACTCAATATTCTCTTGGCTGTATATAACTCTGTAATCATGCTCTGTGAATAAATATCAGAAAAATTCCGATCACTGAAATTCTTCATGGTATCAGAGCACGAAAACTGATAATTTTTTTTTTCTTTCTCTCTTTTCTTTTAACACGATCTCACAATGTCTGTCACTGGTTCTGACAACGGCAACCCGACAACGACTCCGACACCGACTCCGACATCTCCATACGATCTGACTGCTGCTGACAATCCTGGTGCTGTGATTTCACATCCTCTCCTCAAAGGATCCAACTACGATGAGTGGGCGTGTGGAATCAAAACGGCACTCAGCTCTCGAAAAAAATATGGTTTTCTCGATGGATCTATTCCACGTCCAGCTGAAGGCTCTGCAGATCTGGAAGACTGGTGGACGATTCAAGCTTTGCTTGTCTCATGGATCAAAATGACTATCGATCCTTCCATTCGATCGAACATCTCTCATCGTGATGTGGCGAAAGATTTGTGGGATCATCTGAAGAAGAGGTTTTCTGTGACTAACGGACCTCGGATCCAACAGCTTAAGGCTGAGTTGGCATGCTGCAAACAACGCGGTCTCGCCATTGAAGCTTACTACGGCAAGCTCAACCGTATTTGGGACAACATGGCTCAATACAGACCATTGAGGTCTTGCAAATGTGGCAAGTGTGAATGCCAACTTCTGCTTTGACGGCAAAGACGGAGGTTTCGATGTTGTGAAAGAGGAGAAACAAGAGAAGAAACAGATGGAGTTGTCGTCCGGAAAGTCACCGAGGACGGTGAATCGTAAGGTTTGTTAAAAACTTGATTACTTATGTTTTGACATAGAAGAGAGTTCCAAAATATGTCTAACATAAAAGTTGAAAAAGGGCCTACAATGTTCTGAAAAACATTGCCTTAAATGTTTTTGACTTTTTATTGTTTTTTTCTTTAAGAACAGCTTATTTATGGAGATCAAGGGGTAGGAGGAACAGATGATAAGAAATCGCCGGAGATTAAAGTGGCAACACAAGATCGTAAAGATAAGCCTGTCTCTTGTGATGTTCATGAGGTAATGTATGCTTCAAATTTCAAGCGTAAGAATTTGCCATTTTTTTATTTATTTACTTTCGGTTGTTGCAGAATAACGAAGAAGAAGAAGTTGAGGCCTCAGAAACATCTAGCGGGTCTAATCACTCAGATGAAGGAAGGGGATCATTTGCATTTCCTATGTGAGTTTAATTTCAATAGCTTTTTGTTTGTCTTGTTTGGAAATATAATGTTTCTGAATTGATAATTTGGGATTGAAAATCATATACAGATTGGGACTTGAGTGGATGGGAAGCCCTGTTCAGATGCCTAAACTAGATGAGTTGTCTCCCAAGAAACAGAAGCCGATTGCTTTAGGGTTCCAATGCTGTAGATTCTGAAGAAAAGAAAAAACGTGTTAGAAGTGTCTTTAGATTCTTTTGTACTACTCTGTTTCTGAGTAAACAAACACTCTTAGTGGAGAGACAATCTACAGTCTCGATTTTACATTTCTTAGCTTTTGCTGAAGAGATGTTATTTAGACAAGTAAAAACTGAAAAGAAGAAACGAAATCAAATCATCGGTTTCTTGATGTCTTGATGGTTACATATATCTGTTACTGAACAAAGTTGAATGTACATCTCTAGTGAGAGAACTTTATGTGGGTTTACATACTTTAAAAACTTTCCATTTACTCCACACTCCACCCAAATTGAAAACCAATCTAACTATAAAGTCTTGCACCTTATGCCACCATGTGTCAAACAATCATGCTAAAAACGCCATAAGAGATGACAAGAACCTGATCATTAGAATAATTCTGCTATAAACTGAAAATTATAATCTTTTTGTTTTGCACAATTTCAAAATCCTTCTAAGCCATAATTGGAAATAATATGGGGTCTTCTTGACAAAAACAAGAATAATATAGGGTCCTAACGAGCAATTATTCCATCTTTCTGGAAAACGCTGCCGTTTCAAGAAGCAACGCAAATCCCTGAAATGTTACTTAAAACCCGCCGGTAACGGTTCGGTAGTGAAGAAACTCCGACGAAACAATGGCAGCGTTTAGCCACCGCCTCCGTAGTTTGTCGCGCCGCTTCTCCTCCACACGGAGCACTCAACGAAGCGGCGGAGTTACAAAAGTACCCACACTCTACACAAGCCCAGAGATCGAATCGGACTCCGTCACCCTCCAGCTCCACTCATGGGGACGAGGCGCTTCAGGTCAGCTCGGCGGCGGAATCGAAGAAATACGAATGTATCCGTCTCCGGTCGCCAACCTTCTCCTTCGCTCAGATCAATCCTTATCTCTCGCCCAAACGCCTGGAAGACTAGACGCCGATTCACCGACAAACGGATCGAATTTCCGGGTCGGAATCTCTTGCGGGTTGTTCCACTCGGGTTTAACTATCGACGGAGATCTATGGATTTGGGGGAAAGGAGACGGAGGAAGGCTAGGATTTGGTCAAGAGAATTCAGTCTTCGTCCCAAACTTAAATCCGCTTTTCGAGGAGCACTCGATTCGCTGCGTCGCTCTCGGTGGCTTACATTCCGTTGCTCTAACCCATAAAGGAGATGTCTTCACTTGGTAAGCTATAGCTTCAAATTCGAATCATTTCAATAAAGTTTCTCCATTTTCGAAAAGCCGTTGATCTCAATTTGAGTTTTTGAATCGTAGTTGAGTATTAGAAAATTTTGAAATTGAAGCAATGTCAATAAGATTACATTTCTGTTTGATTTTTGTTGTTTTTTTCTGCATAATGTGATGGTTCCGTAAATTAAAAATGAAGTTGGCAGGGGTTATGGAGGGTTTGGTGCGCTTGGACATTCGGTTTACACCAGAGAACTCGTCCCTCGACGTGTTGAAGGCTCTTGGGACTGCAAAATCTCTGCCATTGCAACTAGCGGAACTCATACCGCTGCTATTACTGAATCAGGTTTCTCTTCATGTTACATATCTGCAGTTGCGTACAGAATCTTGACCGGTTAATACCACTGTTCATCTTCTTAATTGCTCTGTTTGACTCATAATCGAGCATTGTTCTTGGTTCTAGGAGAGTTGTATATGTGGGGTAGAGAGGAAGGAGACGGCAGACTAGGACTCGGGCCAGGCCGAGGACCGAACGAAGGTGGTGGGCTCAGTGTGCCTTCAAAGGTCAAATCTTTAACGGTTCCTGTAGCGTCTGTCTCATGTGGTGGTTTCTTCACAATGGCGCTTACACAAGAAGGACAACTTTGGAACTGGGGAGGTAAAAGTTAATATAAAGTCTTAGTTTCTATCATTGTTATTGTAAAAATAATTCATTGGATGTTTATGTGTATCAGCAAATTCAAATTATGAGCTCGGACGTGGTGATAACTTGGGAGGTTGGAAACCAATGCCGGTTCCGAGTCTAGAAAGCGTTCGTATCACTCAGATTGCGTGCGGTGGATATCACTCTCTCGCCTTAACCGGTAAACAATCTTTCTCCAAGCCGAACAATCTTTCTCTTACCGGTTTTGTACAAGTTTGACTTGAAATTTTGCTTGGTGTGTGACAACAGAGGAAGGTAAAGTACTCTCTTGGGGCCACGGTGGTCACGGCCAATTGGGTAGTTCTTCGCTGCGGAACCAGAAAATTCCTACAGAAATCAAAGCATTAGCAGACAAAAAGATCGTCTTCATCGCTTCTGGAGGTTCCTCTTGTGCAGCAATAACAGGTAAAATAAAGCTTTTTGCTATGTTTCATTTGACATAATAAATATCTCAGCATAACGGGAATGGTTTTTGACAGATGAAGGTAAACTCTGGATGTGGGGAAACGCTAAAGATTTCCAGCTCGGAGTTCCAGGACTCCCGGAGATCCAAACTTCTCCGGTGGAAGTCAACTTCTTAACCGAAGAAGATGAACTTAAACCGCACAAGGTTATCTCAGTCTCCATTGGTGCTTCTCATGCTCTTTGTTTAGTCTCAAGATCACATTGATAATATACACTGTGATAGACCATAATAAGATTCATTCAACACAAATGTTGTTTAGTGTTGATTACTATGCTTTTTAAAGGTATGATTATACAAATAAATGAACAAGATCAAAACAACAGTGAGATCCATCGAACCATCAATTTGAGCAACAACCTACCTTTTTAACGGCAGAGACATCATCCTTGGACCCGACGTTGATGGTCTGTCCTTTAGGAAGAGCAGACGGATCATCTCCTAGATCAAGAGCTTTCCGGCTAACCACACGGTAAATCTGAGAAAGCACTTGAGTGAAAGCGTTCTCTACGTTCAGCGATTCGAGAGCTGATGTCTCCATGAAGAAAGTGTTCTCTCTCTCCGCAAAGGACTTGGCGTCTTCGGTTGATACAGCTCGTAGGTGACGGAGATCTGCCTTGTTCCCAACGAACATGATGACGATGTTTGCATCTGTGTGATCTCTAAGCTCTTTTAACCATCTCTCGACGTTCTCGAAGGTCACGTGTCTTGTGACATCGTAGACGAGCAATGCTCCTACGGCTCCTCTGTAGTATGCACTTGTGATTGCTTGATATCTTTCAAAATCACACAAATCAATCAACCAATTAACAATCTAATTGTATCGGAATCAATGGATTTCTCAGATTTATCGACAAACTCTTTTCGGAAGCTATGAAGAAATGTCAAATCGATCCCAAATTGAATGAGCCTGAAGAGAGATGTATAAGTACCTCTCTTGGCCGGCGGTATCCCAAATCTGGGCTTTGACGATCTTGTCGTCGACATGGATGCTACGGGTGGCGAATTCGACGCCGATCGTGGATTTAGATTGGAGGCTGAACTCATTGCGCGTGAATCGAGAGAGGAGGTTGGATTTTCCGACGCCGGAGTCTCCAATCAACACCACCTTGAAGAGGTAATCGTAGTCCTCGTCGGCTCTGTGCGCCGCCATTTTGAGGTTCTCCGATTGGAGAAGCGCTCCTTGGACAAAATGCTGGATCGGAGATTTCTGGGAATTAAGCGCGTATTTTCAAGAGAAGAAGAGACGCACAAGAAAGAGATTCAAATTTTCAAGAGATCGACACAAATGAATTAAAACCGCGGGTATCCGGGTCTGAGTCGGGTCCGGGCCTTAAAAATATTTTTTTACTGAGCCGTGCTATAATTATAAATTGGATTATTAGAAAAAAATGCATGAATTGAACTTAAAAAAGAACTTAAACGTAGGTCTAAATGAGTGCAATTATAGAACTTTAACCAATTTAGCCAAAATATTCTAGTGATTTGCACATTTACTTTAAAATTACATATACTCCACCTCTAACGTGGGTCTGTCTGCCCATGCACAGGAGAGTTGGAAATCGCTAAAGCTATTGCTTCTTTAGCGTTGGGAAGAAGATAGGTAACATGAAAAAAACATTTGAATAAAAAAAAATCACTTCCTTTTGCTTTGTTAACTTACATTATAGGATATTACTCATGTTAAGTTGTTGTCATTGAATTACAATATGAAATGATCGCTTAAGTTATGAAGTTAAAATATATAAGCGACTTATACGTAAATGCTTACGTAAATCCACAAGACAAGTGAGCCGCAGCATTACAATTATTCCTAAAAAATACCACTAGCCTCTCCTTTCCTGACCCAGCCTTTTATATCATGTTACTCTTTGTTCCACCAAAACTTGTGCTTAACGTTACCATAATACCATCATATTCATAGAAATGGATCTATAAAATACCCACATTTTAATTTGATGTCTTTTTAACACTAGTATTCTTTGGATTTGCAGAAACCACCACTCTTTATCGTCTTCTTCTTTTCCTTCCTGTCATTTGCTTCAATATTAAAAAATTGTCTAGCTCGAGAAAAATTTGAAGATCCTTATCAAAGGAGTTGGGTCAATGAAAAAAACAAAAATACAAAAGAAAATGATGAAATTAGAAACGAAATGATTAGAGAACATGGTGGAGTGATACACCAATCCGCAGACAATCCCAAGCTCTCCCAACCGCCCAACCAAACTTACCCGTGTGTGATTTGTATGAGATTTCATAAGAGACTTACGCACATGCCTAATTGGACCTACTCCTCAAGTGTTTCCCTACAATGACTACCACATACCTAATATGGACCCCGCATCATCATCACCACCATTGATTCGCGGTGTCACCATTCCGATCACACGGCCCATACGCGTTTGAGAGGCTCACTTGATCTAACGGCCCACGATTCGGTTTATTTTTAAAACACAGGAGATCCGTACTCTCTCTCTATCGAGAATCGGCTTAAGATCTTTGAAGTGATGAAGTCTTCTACTACGAGCAACGATTGGAGTCGGAGAAAACGACGAACCGACCATAATAATAAGTACGTCAGCCATTGACGTTACGACACGGGAGGTGGGACCCTCTCACGCCACCGTGGAATGCATGTCGCGCATGAAACTCGTCACTAACACGTAGGTCCTATTGCTCAAATCGATCGCCCGTCTATTTGCTAAGCACGGCTTTTACGCGACGGCACGGCTCTCTCGTTCTTCCGTACAATTCCCTCCCAAACATTCTATTGGCCATCCAGAACAAAAAAAAAATTATCCTATCCGAAAATATCTTTTTTTTTCTTTTCTCACTTCAACAAACCTAAGTTAATTAAATGGTTCATGGAAAACTAATCAATACAGTACTATATTAGTACATCATGTAGTATTAAATTACGTAGTGTGAGCTATGTGGAATGCATAGTCAGTTTTGTTCTATTATAAAATCCGATCATAGGTTACCAAAGATAAGGTATATTAAGACATCGAGTTTCCTTATTGTTTATTCAAGAGGTAAGAGCTAACATATATAGCTACTCAGAACATATTCAGTCGTCACTCGCCACACTCTTAACGACTACTTATAAATTAAACAGAAATCAAAGCATAATCAAGGAAACCGAAATCAGGTTTTTGTATAATACCCAATCAATATAAAATTTAGTAGATTAAAATATGATCAAATATACAACGATAAGTAAAGCGGTCAGTTCAAAACTGAACCAAAACTATGACACACATAAATTTGCACTCTTGGGATACTCCAAAAACTAAGAAACAAGAGGTAAATTTTATATTTGGGAAAAAAATTTACAAGCAGTCATATATATTATCATATAATAAATCCCGTTTACCAACCCATAAAAAATAAAATAAAAAACCACTTCATCGAACTTTACCTTATGTGTATAAAATATATAATTGTTGGTTAAGGAGAAGAAGCTGTGAGAATCAAGGAAGGTAGAGACCATTCTGATCTTGGTCAGAAGACGTCCATTGACTTTGACTCCAGTATGCATGATCAACGTTACTGGTTAGATCAAATAGTGTTTGATCTCCTCCGCCACTTCCCCAATCCAACGGTTCGAATCCCATGTTGGGATCGGCCTGAGCCGTTCGATCCTCAAACTGCTGCTGTACAGTATCACCATCTTCCGCCTTCAGTTGATCATCTATACACTGTTGATTTACGGAATTACCACCGAATGCAAACGGCGTCGTTTCAATTGACGACGCCGCGGTAAAACCACCGATCTCCGTGAAAACTCCACCGTCCGATGAACCTTGTCCGAGCAACGTCGACCACTCGATCCCGTTCCCGTACAGTTTGAGATTAGGCATATCAGTACCCATGAAACCCGAAGACGCAACCTTAGCGGCTGCGACGGCGGCGGTGGCGGAGACGGTGGCAGCGGCGGAGTTAGAGGCTGTGAGAGAAGAGCTCTCGCTGCTGCTGGATTTCTCCTCGACGTCTTGTGTCGTAGGTTTGTCGGCGGAGGACGGAGACGACGAGGGAGGCTGCTTTGATTTCGATCGTTTGGCTTTACGACAGCCGCCTCCGACCGGGACGTTACGGAGGACGCCGCCTTTGGTCCAGTAACGACGACAGTTCTTGCAAAAGTGTCGAGGCTGAGAAAGATTGTAATTGTTGTAGTAACAGAACTTTGTGTTAAGAGAACTGCAACGAGGACACTTGAGAGATTGGTGATGACTAAGGATATTGTTCTGATGCGCTCTCATCCTCCGATCTCCGCCTCCTCCGCCGCCGATTCCTCCACCGAAAAACCTCCCTCCTCCTCCTCCTCCTCCGCCGCCTCCGGTCATCGAGTAATCATGAATATCTTGCATTTCCAAGAGATCAAGATAAAGAATTCTGTTTCTAATTTCTTGTATATCGAAGAATGAGAATTTGGGAGGTTACAGTGGAGAATAGAAGAGAGAGAGAGAGGAGGTAGTAAGCATGGGAAAGGCTTCTGAAACTCTGACAAAGCATATCTTTCATATGTCTGAACAGGCAGTTTCAGTTCCATTTACGATTCTGCCCCTGTGATATTTTCTATTTTACGATCCCTGAGCATGGCTGTATTCAGAAGTTAGCTTCGAGTCAAAAAAATTGGCCCCATCAGTTACATGTATATTAATTAATATCTTTCACATTGAAACGATTTGAATTTTATTTTTACAAAAGAGTCGCATCAAATGTCCAATGATTGATAAATTAGTGAATATAGATCTTTTATGTTCGCATAAAATTTAATATTAAATCGCAACAAAATTTAAAAAAATGTTAATGGAATGATACATCACAATTCCATACATTCATGTATATATCTAGGAGATCACATGAGATAGTACTTGTAAGAGGTAAATGTATATAACAAATGATTTTAGGTCGACATATTTTTCAGAAAGACTTTTAGAATTATTTTTGTTTTCTTCCGCAAAACGACGAATACTTTTTTTAAGGTATAAATTACCTACTAAAAATGTGAAATGTTAATTTGGAATGGGTTTTGTGACTACGTGCATGTTATACAAATTGTATTTAATCTCCACATACTATCCTCGTACCGAGTTTGAGACTTTAGTCCACGAACGTACGATATAAATCTCACTGAGCTACGTTGCTTGAACATGCTTGGAGTATTTCTAATGTATACACTGATACACAAAATACATCATGACTTCATGAGTATGGAATTTTGCTTTGCGTGTGAACTTGAAACATAACAGAAATAGGTATTTTCGCGAGAAGCTTCTTTTGGAATTTGAAATTAAGGTAGAGCTTTCGACGATTCACTCGCATCGTTTTCAGAGACTTTAGTATTGGAATTTGAATGGAGGCAATGTAAAAAGGTAAATCCGTTGCTTCATCAAAAAGAAAAGTAACAATCTAATTTATAGCGTCTGACATTAATTTATTGTATTGTTAAGGTTTGGACAATTAACTAGTTGCCACACTGCATGCGATTTAAGCGATCTTTGAAAATCTATTATATTAGTTTTAACTTTTATATCGCTTTCAGAAGTACAAATATTTCAACGATGAATAGCGATTTTACCAAATGTCACAGTGGTATCACAGTCCAATAACTAATTATTGCTTCATAAAATGTTTTCGTTCAAAACCTTACTATAACAAGCTTTTTTCATTCCAAAATAGATATCCTTCGCTCAGTTTATAGATAATTAACTCATCCAAGTCTAGTCTTGATTAACACGTCAACTGAACCAAGAAACTATTAATTACGGGATTTGGAACTTTTATTTTCGTTGCATAGCAAATTAACGCTAATAATAGTGGGCCAAGAATTTATTTTTCCTATTTGTTTGAATTGGGAATAATCTAGGCGGTTGATAAGGATAAGAGGACACGTGGAGGGTGAAGAAAGGGAAGAGATTGATGTCCACATAAATTGGATTGTCGACTTGTCGGCCACCCCGGTTTATCTGCTGATTCAAGAGCTCTGTGGCCTGTTCCAGTGGTTCTTCTTTTGCCACGTCACCGTATTCTCTAAACTATTTGGGTATGAGCATGTGGACTATGTGTACCACTCTGGTACTTACAAAGTTACAATCTCAATTATTTGTCGGGGTGTTAAAATTAGTAATTCCCAACCATTTTTGTACATTCTCTATTCTTTTCTTTTTTTGACATCGTATATATATTCTTACAAAAATTTATATACATAGCTTAAAGTATTTGAGGCTAATGCTTAAGAATTTGTTTGAAAATAAGAAAAGTAATCGCAATACAAACATAACCCAAATATGCAAAATAAAATAAAAAAGATTATTAAGTTATACAAAAATCTCATAAATTCTGTTATATTACCACAAATAGTTTAACATCAAAACGTGAATGCCACAAAAAGAATAAAATCCATATAAAACTAATTTGGAGGATAAACAATCTAAGTTACTGTAATTATTCCTTACAGATTTGCTTTTCGATAAAACACGAATTGAAAACCATATGTAACCATCATTCACATTAAAGGCTGAATTTGAACGATCGTTCGGTTGAAATATCTCATGGTTTCGTATTTGTGATTTGTAAACATTTGGATGATGAACGAATATTTTCAGAAATTAAGAAACTGACCCGTATGTTAGTGGAAAGAGCCATTAGGACCACTAAAGTGGGTAAGCAAATGTCGGGTGCAAAGTGCAAACTGCAAACACGTCAATAGTGACATGGAGACATGTAAGCATATATAATACAATGCTCATCGCTCATATGTCACAAACCCTGTTTGTTTTGTTATTATTGACGTTAGCGATGCAAGACAGAGATCAGCAACAGCAGTGAACTATTGTTTGTGTCGATAGTATATATCACAGTGATGAACAATAGCAATGAGCTATTTACTATATGGTTTGTTTTGTTATGAGTAATAAACAACAGTACTAGATGCTATGTAGTAAAATCATATCAATTTTTCCTTCTGTGATCGACGATAAAATTCAACTACTATATAATGCTGAAAATTAAGTTCTATTTTAGAAGCGTTATGGGTGTAAACTGTAAACTATAACAATAAATTCCAAAATTTGATACGAGCATCTAGAAAAGTTATGGGTATCAGTATTTTGTGAAGCATTGAAAGCTATAAAAGAATATATAAATATGTAAAAATGGAAATATAAATAAAATACTATTTTTGGGTAGTGATACACTACATATGAAGTGGTAGCTAAAATGACGGGGCGTGTCAGTGAGTTGAGTGGAAAGGTCACGATCGAGATCTCAATTCTCAAAGGTCCAGTCGTCGGTGGTCGGTTGAGATTGAAACGTCTTGTAAAGGCCCATTGGCCCCAAACTCGTTACACCAGCATCATATCTGTCACGTGATCCTTGGGCCCACAAGGCCCATCTCCCGTCAGCATCTCACAGCTCTCATCTTTCATATACTTCCATTTATTATACATAGCACACATTTTGAACCAAAAAAAAAAAAAAATACATAGCACACACATACTGACATACATCGAAGGGAGAATTATATTAACAACAAAGAAGCAGATTTCATCCCTCATAATCGATATCACATTGTATGATGAGCAAGATATTAACATCTTAACAAGATTCTGTTCAATGTCCACACATATTACTTCAACTACCTCATCCATGGCTTCTCTATTTATTTATGAACATATTGAACTTTCATCACCCACTTTCGATTGTGCCAATAGAGAATTATAAGTTTCAGATTTTCAATGACAATGTTATAGTTCCCTTATATAAAAAAAATAACAATTGCTTTCCCCGCACATTTGTGCGGGTTAAATCCTAGTACACATACAAATACATGTCGTCTAGCGTGTGTGTGTGCTGCGTATAATATGTGTGCGTGTGTTGTGTATATAGACGTCAGAAAGTGGCTGGAGACGGCTCGATAATAGATGGTGATATGTTTGATTTGGATAGATTTAAAAGGCCTCATAAGGCCCAACTCAAACGGGACATGTCGCCCCAATATGAAATCTTTCTTACATTTTGTAATGACAACGACTCAATTCATAGGAACCTTAGATCAAGAGACTAATTGTATACGCAATGAAATAACGTTACTTACAGTGACATCAACATTGATCCAAAATGTCTTAATTAGTTTTAAATGTAAAATCAACATTTAACAATTTTTTCTTAATTCCCGTGTTTTTATTTTGTTTTTTGTCACCAACATTCATCACTGAATCGGTTCGGGATCTAAGTCGGTAAAACATAGTTAACATAATACAATTTGGTGGTAGGGTGATCTCGTACATTTCGTCTTAATTAGTTTTAAATGTAAAATCAACATTTAACAATTATTTTTTAAACTCCCGCGTTTTTTCCTGTTGTCAACGGTATTCATTTCTAGATCGATTTAGTGATCTAAGCCGATGAAACATATTAAACGTAATACAATTTAATGGTGGAATGATTTCATTTATTTCGTGATAGCTTGTCTGCCTTCTTATTGGTCGTTCTTGCACTTGAGTTTTATCAAAATGAAATTATAGAAACGTAAAAAAATATTTATTTACAGGAAACAAATAGCTATGTTTTTTATTTTATTAAATTGATATGGATACAAAAAGTTGGTAAAAAAAAAACGGAGATAGCTCTGAATCATAGTGAATTAGTGATAGTTGATTGAGTTTTTTTTCAAACGTGAAGACGTATGACGAGCGAGAATGCGACATCCCCAACGGCGATTCCGTCCCCGGAGGAGCATAACTCACCGCCGCCGCAGGATTCACTCAACTCTGTTCCCATTTCCGCCGTACCTCCCTTCTCGCCACAAGCTACGGTACTCTCTCTCTCTCTCTCTCTCACTCTCTCTCTCTGAGTAATTAACAATATCTGTAATCTCCGTTTTATCGTAGACGGAAGGTTTCGCGAACAGCGCCGGAGTAGTATCAAACCAAACGGTCGATGAAATCGAAGAACCATCGTATTACAAGTAATTTTGATTTTCGGTGCAATTTTGTTTCTTGAGTGAAAACCTTAATCGAATGTTCTGGAAAACCTAATTCACGCAATGCCAATTTTGAATTTTCAATCGTTTTTTGGATTTTAGATATCTTGATAGCAAAGAGTATGGTGATAAGTACAAAAGGTACTTATCTGAGTTTAAGCAGTATCTCATGGCAAAGTATTTCTCCGGAAGAGATCCCAATGGAGGTTTGTTCAAAATTGCTTCACTGTTCTTTGGCGAATTTCATAAAAAATTGATATTTTTGGTGTGATTTTGTTTTGTTTGTTTTTTCCAGTGAATCTATTTCAGGAGACAACAACAATAGATGGTGAAACCATTAAGTCAAGCAAGTAAGCATCAAATAGTTGTAGAAGAAGCAGAGATGTTTTTTTTTCTGCTCTGCTTTTGTGTGTTCTTATCTTGAATTTTGGCTAAATTTTCAGGTGGCCTTGCACACGTTGGTACGCAGGCGAAGATGTTTCATGTGTAGACCCAGTACAATGCCTTGATGAAGAAGAGGAAGATGAAGTAGAAGACGAAGAAGAAGAAGAAGAACAAGAAGACGAAGAAGAAGATGAAGAAGAAGAAGAGAGCAGAGATTTGGGTCCCGCAGAGTTAATAACCCCTGGTGAAATCTCCAATGGAGGTATTGTCTCTGAGAAGACCAGTTGATCTCCAATAATGCCTTTTTGTTGTTGTTGTTGTTGTTGTCGTTGGTGTTAACAATGTTTGACTGAACCTTTTGGTTAAGTATATTTGCTTCAAAGATACACAATTTGGATCGACGTAACTGTGAAACCGGTAGATTAGTCTATAATTATCTACAAATGCAAGTAATTGCTAACGTAGTAGTCACATTACACATATCATATAGTACTAATGGCTCCTTAGCACACCAAGAACTGGAAGATTTAGGACGTGAAGCTTATTTTACTTACCAAAGGGAGTAGTGTTGGTCCGGTTCGATGTTTCTCCTCTTAGATGATTCACAAAGCGGTCACTGATGTTGCCATCGGCATTTCTCTTGGGTGTTAGCATATCTGCCATGAGAAGGTGAAAGGAAGAGACGTTCTCTTTCAGCTGCGAGTTCTCTTGCAGGACCTGTTGGTTGCTTTCCAACAAGCTGATGACTTTCTCAGACAAGTGATGATTCAGCATCATGAGATGTTCCACCTGCAGCTGCAGCTCTTCGATCTGCTTCTTCTTGCGCATACGTGACCTTCTTGCTGCTTCTCTGTTAGAGAACATTCTTCTTGCCCTTCTTTCGTCACCATTTGGGTTTAAGAGAGAGTGGTCGTTGTTGTTGCTTCGGGTCGATATGTTTTGTGGTACCGACTGCAATTGGACATGGAAGTCGGTGTTCGGTAGGAATGCCGAGTTGAAATTATGATCGTCTTGCGGCGGCATTCCTTCAAACATGTCGAAACAATGAGAGCGATGGGGACCTGACTCCATGTATGGTTTTAGATGTCGAATAATGAAACTGGATTCTCTTTGATGCAGAAGTCAGAAACACCAAAAGAGAGAAAGAAAGAGAGGGAGAGATAAAGTTAGAGTTAGCGAGAGAGAACAATACATTATAAAAAGGGAAAGAAGAGGTATAAGATTAGTGTAGGCTTAACCTTAAGGTGTTGGATGCTATTTAATGACTAACAAACTTGTATTTGCATAAAGACAACTGTAATTACAATTTTGTTTTTTGGGGCTAAAAACTGTATTTACATATTTAGGAGTGTTTTCTCTTATAGCATATGAAACTCTCCACTAACTAAACTATCTAGTGACTCTTTTTTGACAAAAATTCACTTAATAACATCTTTGTCAAGGTTTACTATCGTTACTTGACACTGTGTATTTTCATGTTACCTTTATTTGCCATGAGTTTTACCGTTTTACCACCAAAAAGAGGTGTAGTTTCCGAATGGTGACGCCTTGACCGTTTTATTCTAAAAATTGACATATGCGAAATCGTGAATGCTTTAGTACGTTCATGATGACGTTTGATCACCCATGCGATTATTTTTTTGTAATAAAAGATTATTAGTCTACAAAACCTTTCCGAAAAGATATAATTGAAACTTTTCTAAGAGTTTTCATGATGTACGGATCCGACGTATGCTATAATTCGTGTGTAATTCAAATATTCAGTGTTTGTGTAATCAGCATTTTACCATTAGGACTTCACGGTGAAAAGGGTCGGTGGATGTTAACTTGCACGTATTTAGTTATTTCCACCCACAGGTAAATAAATCAAACTGGTCTACCTACCTGAACAAAAATAATTCGAATTTTGTAAAGTTATTTCTTTGCATTCCATTTTTTTGTAATTCGAAGCAAACTTGTGAATCATAAAAGAAGAAAAACATGCCGATAGTTAACACAAACTACTATAAAGTCAAAGACATTAACTAATGCATTGTTTCCAGACTGAGATTAAGGGATAAACTTTAATTTCAAGGCTAACAAAAGCAGAAACCAAAAGGAGACAATGACGTTTAACAGCTAAGGAAAGTGTATATCAAAATGTAATTAGCCTTACGGAGAGGCAATGTCTTGTTACCAGAAATGGACAATGAGTCTCTTTTCTGCAAGTTTCGTATGAACAATCCTTGACCCATTGTCTTTTGAAGCTCTATCCAATACCATACCACACTCACGATCGTTGATTAAATAAAACGAATCTCCACATGTTCAACTGACAGACCACAGAATATTCTAAAAAAGATTATGATGTTAAGTTCTTTAATGTGGAGCTAACAGTTACAAATGGCAATTCCTGCTGGTGTAACAGTTACACAACTCGCATAGGAAAAAACTTATATCAATCTCAACAAACGTGTGGCCGTACTATAGTGTAAACAAATATCTCCATGCTTGATTGTAGCCAAAATTATATGATTCATTATATAAGATCAAATTTCAATCGTGGCACATAATTCCTAATACTATAGCATATGTATCTTTATCCAATAAAAACTATATAATCTGATCTACCACCTATCTACCAAGATATAGACTAATGCTGTTTTTGTTTTTCCATTAAAATGTGCTAGTTATAAACTTATTTAATGACGTATAGCATAGTCATCTAATCATCTTGCAGGTGTTGTGGTCTCCATTACATGATCCAAATTTAAGTCTGGTTTGTAGTACAAGTTGTAATATATGAAAAAAGTGCAATCCTGTAAGAGAGAACAAATATTTTATAAGAGATGTATACAAAATATGAGAATGTTAAGACCCACAAGTCAAGTTATCTTATTAATTACAAAAAAGTCATCTTCTTCCTCTCTTATAAACCTTAAAATCCAGGATCTTCAAAACCGGCCCTGCTCAGTCTCCAACTCTTCATCTGAACTAGGCAACTCAAAACGACAAACCGGACACGTGTTCCTAATCCCAAGCCATGGAACAATACATTCACTATGGTACTTGTGTCTACAAGGCAGCTCTGCAACTTCTTTCCCTACACTCATCTCTTCTTTGCACACCGCACAACAAATCGCTTCATCGTTCTCTTCTTTGGTCAAAGGAGACACTTTCAGATTCTTTATGAACGATTTGGACGCTGGAGGCTTACCAAGACCAGCCTCAAACAACATCTCATACTCTGTTAGATTATTCTCTTCTTCCTCTTCTTGATCAAATTCACCAATGTACAATTCCATGTTGCTGCTCTCTGCATCGTCTAGGTTAAACTCGAGACTACGAGAATTCAACAAAACTTCCCAACCTACATATCCTCTTCTCTCACCTATAGCTAAATCTTCTTGAGAGATTGTTGCTGAGACTGAGACTGATACTGAATTGTTATCATCACCTTCTGCTAAAACGCTTAAAACCTCTCTCTCATCCTCCTCCTCCTCCTCCTCATCATCAACTTCTTCCCACTCGCATTCCTCATTGTTAATTCCCAAATCCTCCAATTGAAGTGAATCCCAACAAAGAGGAATCGTCACACTTGCATCTTCTTCATCATCCTCACCATAATCATCTTCGTCATTCAAATCTATTCCCCAAATCTCATTCTCTTTCTCCGGATCATCATCAGAATCAGAACCCGATTCCACTGTTACCATAACATCCCTAGACTCCATCGCTAAATATCTCATCCTATCAAAGAAATCGTCATCGTGTTCATCATCGCTATCACCTATCACATTCTCAACGAAACCGCTACCAGATTCTAATTCCAATCCAAAATCGAACTCCAAATTATCCTCACGCGTGTCGTAATTTCCTTCCACCACACCGAAACCCGAATCTGACCGTGATTCCTCACCCTCGTACTCATCGATGTCGTCGTCGTCATCAAGCGGACTCACCTGGCATTGCTCAACGCGCTGGTGGAACAGATCCATGACAAAGCTACGCCGGTCGAGTAGATCAATACCGTCGGATTCCGGGAATAGTGAATCGGGCGCCGATACGTCGCCGGAGAAACCAGCGTCGGACGGGAAATCGTTTTCAGAGGCGTAGAGATCGGCGTCGTCCGATTGGACCCAGTGAGGGAGGGAATCGAGGATCCGAGAAAGCGATTGATCTCTCAGGTGATGTCGCCGCCGTTGGTGGTGGTTACGGTTACAATGGTTCAAAACGGCTTCGTTGGCATCGTGGATCTGAAGGTAAGACATCTCCGCCATTGTTTCCGCCTTTGATCTCTCAATCTCTCTCTTTTAAAGTTTTGCGCACAAAAGACTTTTTCACTCTGTGGCCGAATGATAGCATTTATATTTAGTGGACTTCAAAGTACAAAAAAAAATTGATTCACGCTGTAATGGGCCGAACTTAAATGGGCCTCTCTAAACCGCTAGGCTGATTCGAGTTTGCTTTTTCTGTTTCATATTGTATGCGAGTATCGTTTTTTTCTTTCTTGTAAGTTAGAATAAAGGTATCATAAGACTCATAACCATAAACTTGGAATAATTTATTAACTGGAGAGATATTTTTAAAAGTGCATAAATTGAAACATACGAGAAGCATCACGTGATGTCCTTGAAAAATCAAGCTCCAATTTTGAATTTTACATGTTTCTAGTATATAAATCAAAAAAGTCTCAATCCTCACATCCACATGAGGTTTGAGTATCCCCAAAACGACAGCGTAAAAACCAAGGGCCCTCTGATCGGTCTTCTACATTTCTTGGCCGGTGCTGGTTTAATTCTCTTTTCCGGTACAACTGCAACTCATACCAGAATTTTCATATTGCTATTGCATGAAATAGAGTTACGTATTCCAAATTCTTTTTATATTTCACGAACTCAACCTATTTCCAACAATAATCCGCTTTAAAACTCTTATTAAGGCTCAAATTTTCTTTGTGTGATTAGTTATCCATACCAAAAACCTCTATGATGTCTTCGGTTTGATACAAAAACCAATCCGGTCTGTTTGCAAGTTGAAAACTACAACTTCGAGTCTTTGACTAATCACGTTGGATTGGAATACCACTTTATAGGGTTTAGTAACAGGCTTTTTTTATTAGATAAAGATTGTGTACGCATGTGTAATATAAGACACATACATTCCGTACGTATGTATAGGAACTTAACAATCTGTCCTATTTAAGTATACAGGAACAAAAATGTAAAACCTCATCATAGGTAACTATCTACGTAATGTAGGTACGGCTGTTAACCATATGGGATTTCATGTTTTTTTGGTTCAATGTTTTACTGTTTAGTTCGTCAAGATTTCTGTATATGTTCAGCACCAATACTAAATTGTGGTGTGTATCAGAAATTATACTCCTTGCGTATCTTAATAAATTTTATATACACATTTTAAAACTCATAAAGTTATACTATTGTATATATCATTATTAACTATGTTACCATTAAGTAAGTGCAGGATAAATATGTATTCCTTATGTTTAATATCGTTAATTCATTAGAAAATAAAATAAGTATGTATATTATTATCACATGGAAAATTCAACGACAATATGTTCAAACACATGATATACAGAAGAATTCCCAAAACCAAAGCTTTGAACAACATTGGAGTTGGCAATTTTCATATTTTGTCTTAATTTAGACAATCCCCTAGCACGATCAGCATTCAAAACGGTTATTATGATGATAAACTATCATGTAAATTTGATTAAAAAAAAACTATCATGTAAACTTTTAAAAGAAAAAGTAACATAGTAAAGGTTATTGGAAAACTAGCTTTGACCTTCAGCTCTTTTTCTTCTTCTTGGACTTTTTGTCGCTCTTTATAACCTCCTCTCTCTTCTCTCCCTCGTTAGACCCAAGTCTCCTCTTTTTCTTGTACACACACACACACACACACACACACACAGAAAACAGAAACATTTAAACATTAAGCCAAGGAAATAAAAGAGGAAGAATAAATGGTGTCCATGAGGGCTATTATCTATCTTCTAATACTTTTGATTTTGCAATCATATGCTAAAGTCTCCTCCACTGCAAACTTTGATAGCCAAGGTATATACATGAATTTTAATGTTAGTTTCAGCGTTTGCATATGAATGCCTTATGTCTGTTATTTGCAAACATGCAATGTCTTTTAAGCTTTAAAAAATCGCTCATCAAAATTTCTCTATAGCTTCACAAGCGGCGAACAGTGAAAGTCTTGGAGCAAGAACTACTATTCAAAAGGTACCCAATTCTCAATCCAGAGTTTTTTTATGAAGAAATAGAAATTAGACAATGACGCCTTCAACATGTTGGTTTTCAGTCAATGAATTATAATTTGAATTGTTTATATATTAGGTTACTCACGTTGTTATCACAAACCGAAAGACGTTGAAGCATGCAAATGCAAACTTAGAGGCAAATGAGAAGAATGGATTAAAGATAGAAGGTAAAGAAACGGTGAGGAAAAGAAAGATCAAGAAGAGACTGACCAAAACGGTGAGTTTAACGGCTGATTACAGCGCTCCGGGTCATCATCCTCCTAGGCATAATTAAACTACATATTTTATATTCTCTCTTTCGTCACATGAAATACGGGCCTCTCTTTCACTAAGAAGCTTCAGTTTTGTTGCATCGCTACTTAAATTTTGATACTAAAATATTGAACGCATCGTTTTACATGTATATATTAATCATGGACTCGTGGTACGTACGTGGAACATGGGCTTTTAGGTAGCACTTTTGTATGTTTTCTAGAGAGACATGTTTCTTGATTTAAATCGGTTTTAAAAAAGACATTTTCTGTTGGTGTTGGAAAATGTGTTTATATAAATAAAGTGTTGAAGTGTAGCAGTTTTGATTAGCATCAGTGATATGTTGTTTATGAAAATGGGATTTAAGAGGAGAAGAATACGACACAGATAACACCAGAACTAAAAAGTCATCCTTGTCAGGGATCCTATGGATGATATGTTCTAATGATACCAACACAAGACTATCTTAATAACATGAAGCATCAGAGTACTCAGGTTTGATATTACAAACCTCGGATTTTCCAAATGAATCAATTTGAATGCTTCAACAGATCGAGGAGGGAAGTTATGCCAATATCAATATGTCAACATAATTGTAACAATAATGCCTAGGCAAATGACTCGAACTGTAAAACTCACCGTTTAAAACTAATTGATCTCTAACTGAAGAAACAGAGGAAGACTCGATGAGAACATTAAGTTGGCGTTTGGGGACATTTAGATATCTATACCGCGATTGGTTAAGCGATAAGGAAAAAAAGTTGAAAATAACAGAGATTAGGGTTGGACCCGCGGCGGGGTGAAATTTAATTAAAATGATTTCATATAAATTTATGAATTTTATCATTTACGTCAACCTTGGTTTATCTATTTAATATCTGTTATATAAATAACAGAGATATGCGAGAATAATTCCGTCATTTACATTATTTTAGACAGTAAAATAAATTATTATATATTTTGTTACAGGTGTAGTGTAAAACTTGTTACTAGTATATGGTAACAAAATGAAGGAAAAACAGAATCTCCGGATCAGTAACGGTCGGTTTCTTTTTAACCGCAAATCCGTTATAAGTAACGTCTGGTAATTAACGGCGTCTATAACTCAAAAATCAGTGCGACTGCGAGTGGGGAGCTAGACGACAGGCATTGTGGCACATTAATTGATTAACGGCAGGGAATGGGCACACGTGACCTTAGCTTCTCTCCTCACGTGCTCTTCACCACACTAAATTCTTGGTTCATGTCAACCAAATTTATAACGTATTTACTTCCTTCTCTTTTGTTTTACCGGTTGTACGTCCTCAATGTTCTGAAATTCATTCTAAGATTAATTTATTGAATTAACAGAAGAAACATTAATATTGTTAAAAATTTGTTATCGAAGGAGATTTTTACTTCTTTTATGTCCACAGTCACAGATTGATTAATGAAAAATTAAAAAGTAAAATAAAAGAGAGAAACGGGATAGCGGGATAGCGTAAACAGTAACGTGGGACCCGCAATAATAGAGTGGGGTGAGTTGGCCACGTGATATAGCGAGCTGAGGTAGGCAGCTATAAAAGTTTTCTAATCACGTGATACAACTGCCACGTGTCGGTCACCCTCCTATATCTTTGATCCAAGTTTAATTTAAGTTTACGTGATTGATAACTAAATGGAGCTACAAATCATTAGTTATTTAATTAGTTCTGTCATAAGACACGCAAGAGAAGGAAAAAAAACTAATTTGAATAGATAAAGTATTTGTTTACTGATCCCTAAGACGATTCTTGAGCAAAAGAATGTCCATGTTGTAAGGAAATTTGTTTACTCCATGTTGAGCATTAAACTACTTAAAATGAAGTAAGAAAGAAAAATCAGATAATGATTAGGGACACCTAATTGCCCTGCCCTCGTTAAATAAATGAAAAAGACGACAGCCAAGCTAACACATATGCGATGCTCTCCCATAAAATGAAAAAGAAGACAGCTAAATGGAATTTTGATACCGTTTACATTTCTACCAATATTAGGATTCTCATAATAATTAAGACTTACTCGTCTGTCAACGTTTCTCTGTCTCTTGTATTTTTCTTTCTTGTTGTCAAAATGATTTTTTTTTTCTTTTCCAGAAGCTCCACTTTTTGTTGTCAAAAATTTACAATACATTTTCTCGCATCTCCAACTTTTTTAATTTCAGTGTTACTATTATATTCCAAAATGGAGGGGACGAATTTGCTAAAGATCGAATCCTGTAATAATTTAGCCGTATTTAAAAATATTAAAACTGTGATATTTTTATATCAAATCTTTGTGTGTGCATGAATCTGATGGGGTGTGATGGAATCTTCAATTAGTTTATAAAGATCCAATTAAAAAATAATAAGGAAATTAGTATGTACATATTAACATATATATAGAAAGTGATACGTTCTACGCACTAAACTAATCAGGTTGCCAACGTCGAGGAAGCTAAAACCCGTGGGCAAAGACTTCAGTATATCCAAAATGTGAAAAGATCAATTCTCTTAAGATTTTGAAATAAATTTTGTAAACAACGTCGCGATAGAAAACCAATTTTTGTTTTTGGAAAGAGACTAGTTATATCAACGTTATTAGTTAATAATAATAGTATGTCTAATTGGAAAAGCTTGGAAGTTGCGTTTGATGGGTTTTGGAAAGTGCCCCTACGAATGTCGAATTTCCATTTGTCGTCACTCTCGCCGACTCTTGATATTGTAATAGTTTTCATCACGTGAGCCCTGAGCCGGGTGGGACGACCACTCACGTGGCACCCTCTCTAGTCTCTACCATTGAAAACGACTTCGCACCTCATCCCCTCACTCACGTGTTTCGATCCGGACATCTTTATTCTTTTTCATGTCCCATGCTCTTTTGTTTTTCTTTGTAAGTTTTGTTGGTGTTGTAGTAACAATGTTTCAATTTATTGCAATTTGCAAGTGACCTTAAAACACAGTGGACTATACTTTTAAGGGTATCAATCTCTATTGATCTAACACCAACGGTTCAATCAGAATGGGCCTTTTATATTTAGAAGATAAAAGTGCAGCTAATTTTTTTACAAACAGCGGTCGTAGCCATTCGAAACTTGCTGAAACGTATAAAAAAAAATTCGTGTTAAGTTCATTACAAAACTTAAGAGCTTCTTCACATTATTAGCGACTGATCGTTCAACATCGTTTAGTCAGTATTTATAAGATAAGATCATAGGCTTGATATAATATAACGTTAATGATTAAGAAAGTGTTTAGGGACAACCTAACACCTCATGAGACAAAGTGGAGAGCATGTGAGAGTGTTCTCCTTTGTTTTCTTTTTCAATTTCCCTATTCTATATACTATTAATCTTCTTGTGACCCAACGCTAATTTCCCTACTTATACATATTTTTATTAGAAATTACAACCCTATATAAAATATCGGATATATAACTGCATTTTGTTTTGTAAGGTCCATAATGCATATGCGAGTTTATAATTGTCATGTATTGCCGTAAAAAAAAATGTCATGTATTTTTACACTCTATACACATTTGCTACCATAGAATGAATATATAGGATAATTATAAGGTTTAGTTTGAACCCAAAAAACAGAAAAGGATAATCATAATTAAGCTCTTGATCACCCTCTAGAAATTTATTTTAGCGTTTAAAACAAAGAGAACATGTGGCCACCGTGGTTAGTTCCATTTTGTAACTATGAATCTATGATAAAAATTAATGAAATAACGTATGCTAAACCTGTTAAGGTCATGATTGTACCAAACTTTTGCCAACACGCGTTATACACAGGATGTGCACTCGCATGAATTACTTAAAGTATATGCTAATATTAATAACATTTATTTGATTCATTAAAAATATGGCTAGGGATGTGATCAGTTTCATTTCAGACGACAGCCATATATAATTGAAAACTAAGAAACATGATAATTAATTATATATATATATTTTTGATAAAGTGTTTTTTTCCAAAGTATATAATGTCAAAATATAATCCCAAATAGAACAGAGTTTAACATAAAATAAATCACACATATATTTTTGAACTATAAAATCGCCACTTTTGAACTTCTTGAAGCCATACTTCAATGTTGAAAGTAATGTGAGAATGTACTTTAACAGATACTTGAATCTTGAAAATTAAAAGGATAGGGAGGTTATCCACAGTTGCTAATAAAATAAAAACAATATTTATATTTTAATTCGAACAGAAAAAGGAATTTAAACTCGGATTGACAAACAAACAAATAAAAAAAAACATTTTAGACAAAAATAATGGTGTGGATTAAGGGGCGGTGGCGTTACTGGCTTAGTATAATAGATTCAAGTGGAGATATTTATTTTGTTGAGTCTCTAATCTAGATGTCGAGCCTTCTTTTTTTTTTTTTTTTTTTTTTTTTTTTTTTTTTTTTTTTTTTTTATCAACAGCCTTTAAACATTTTCATCTACAAATTTCTAATGCTTTTATCTTAATACTAGATTAAGATCCGCGTATACGCAGATTTATTTTAAGATTTTGTAATAAAATCATGGAAAAGTATTAAACCAAATTTGATCATTTTAAAGTAAACAGAATAATATTAAAAACCCGATAAAAAGATTTAAATAAAATAAGATCGGTAACCTTTTTACGTTTTTATTGTAATTGATATTTTTTTTGAATTCATGATATAAAAGATGAATTAATTTGTTTTATTTTATTTTTATCAACTTATATATGTCTAAATATGATCAACTGATTAATTAATTCAACAAAACTTTATTATTCCATTCAAGAGATTTCAATTGTTGAAATCTTTATTTAATAATTTTTTACCTAACAATATTGAAAATATATTAAACTATTTAAAATTATAATATCGGTTCATTATATTTTCTTAATATTAGTTAGTTGCTTGATAGTTAATTTGTTAGTTTTCTATTTATATTGTTTCTTTTTCAATTTTGTTTTTGACTCAGACCATTATAAATTTTCAATTTCATTATTAGTTAGTTTTTTTATTATCATTATTTTTTCTTAATATTACTTAGTTGCTTGATAATTATTTGTTAATTTTTCTATTTATATTGTTTCTTTTTCAATTTTGTTTTTGACTCAGACCATTATAAATTTTCATTTTCATTATTAGTTAGTTTTTTTATTATCATTATTTTATTACAGATATCGCAATTTTGTGAGTTATAAAAATCATACGTATTGCTATCATGTTGTTTGCTTTGATGAGTTTGTGAATGAGAAAAAAAAAGACTACTTTAACTCTCTTTTTATAGGGGTTTATGTAACTTATTCCATGCAGTTATAGGAAATTTAGTTTACCTGTTATGTTTAGTTAATCTTTTATAGTTAAAAGAAAAAAAATTATATTTGTCATATCCTAATAGAAAAAGGTTTTTCATTCATCAAATTTATATTATTCAAACCTATTTCATGTACTAATAGGATTTTATTTATTTCATTAATTTGAATCTTATATGTGTTTGGATAATATAAATTTGATGAATGAAAAACCTTTTTCTATTAGGATATGACAAATATAATTTTTTTTCTTTTAACTATAAAAGATTAACTAAACCTAACCTATTTCATGTACTAATAGGATTTTATTTATTTCATTTTTGAATCTTATATGTGTTTGGATAATATAAATTTGATGAATGAGAAACCTTTTTCTATTAGGATATGACAAATATAATTTTTTTTTCTTTTAACTATAAAAGATTAAAATTTCGTTTTTTTTTTCTTTATCTAAATTTTTTTAATTATTATTTTTTCCTTTTACCTAAGATACATGTCACGATCTTAACGGACATAACATTAAAAGTGACACATGTCGCAATCCTAAATTTTATAAAAATCCTACGTGTCGCAACCACGTCGCGCGCATCCAGCTTTATATAATAAGATAAAATTAAGTAACAAAAAAACTTATAACAGGCCCCGATTTTAATGAATTTAAATTTTTGTTTTACAATTTTGTCGTTATAAAGAAATAATAAAAAAAGAATAATGTGTCAGTTTGTGTACTTTTGTGTTACTTTAAAGTTTTTAGCGCCGCTAAACGGATAAATCTCTGTTATCTTCGACAAGTAGACAAACCCCATGACGCCGTTAAATTACGCAAACGTAACGCCGTTGGTTTAACGTCGTTTAGATGAACAGAGATATTACTTGTTTTAACTGTAAAACGGGACGCTAAAACGACTTGTATAAAAACATCTCCCACTCCTCTCGTCTTCTCCCGAAACAGAGAGATACAGAGACAATCGGGGAAGAAAGTGAGAGATCTCTCTCGCTCTAACTATCGTCTCCCAGCCTCATCATCGAAGAGTCTTGTACTGCTTCAAATCTTCGGAATTCAAACCTTGTATGCTCTTTTTGACTAAAAGATCCAAACTTCACACAACTGTACGTATACTCCTCTTTTACTTTTTTTTTTGTTTCCTTCGCAAAATCTGTTTTCAATTTTCTTTTTGAAATTCGGTGTTTGGATCTCTTATGGTTTGATGGTTTGATTTGAATTATGCTAATATTGAGTTACTTTGAATTTTCGAATTCTGCTGAATTATGGTCCAGCTATGATCGTTTTCCGCAATTTTGATCGCAGATCGTTCGAATCTCAACAAAGCGAAGCAGAGGAGTCAGAATTCTGTATAACTGAGTCTTTAAGCTACCGAGAAAGCATAATTCAGATAGTTTATAAGCTCACAAACTCTCCCAGAGTCGTCGAGATCGCAGAATCCGCAGCTACAAGTCGCAGATCTGAGCACAGAGCTACATAATTTCAGCATTTGCGATTCAGCTTCTGTTAATTTCCGGAGAATTCTACAGATTTAAAATACTTTTCCCGCGTCAGATTACTGCATAATTCAAATCTCAACAAAACGAAGCTAAAAGCTGTTGAATGTTGATGGAGCTTCCTCAATCTCGTCCATTTGATGCAGAAGGTATAGAGCTTTTACATTTTCAGTTTCTTCTTTTTCCATTTTTTTTAAGTACTTATTGGAATTTCCTTTCTCACCACAAGTTCATATATAAATAAAATGAAAGAGAACTATTTATTTTTCTTCTTTCGTTTTAATATAACTTTTGATTTTATAACATCTTCCACAGGGAGGAAAAAACCAACGCATGATTTTTTATCGGCCTGCAGTAATTCAACCGTCCATTCAGATCCAATGCCATCATCTCAAGGTATTATTACCATTTTTAAAATTAAAAAACCACACAGGAATAATAGAAAATTAAAAAATACAGAGGAATTTCTAAAGGCGTCACGTTTCCTGGTTTGTGCGCGCGTGACTGTGACTGTGAGACCTGAAGAGTTGGGACGAGTCATGGATTAACACGCGCCGTTTTAGCGGCCCTACATATTTCTCTAAATCAGTATAAACAAGGGTCCGTTTTAGTCCATCGTCATAAATATCTCGACGTTAAATGATGATGATGACGACCCGTCAGATCTAATTTGTTACATGAGATCTGAAAAAACACACATTATTATATCAGATCATTAAATTATATAAGTGTATAGAAGTATACTTTTACGTAAGCACCATAACAGCTCTGATAACTTTAAAACATCTGGTTAATGCTACATCACGTGATATAGAGGTCAGATCTGGAGTGTTTTGGTGTGATTTCTCCTTTTAAAGATTTTTTTTTCGTTATATACATAATGCATGGCATGTGATTCGTTGGGGGACCTGTTTATATACGCATTCACCAACTGTCATCTTATTGATAAAGTCATAAAACAAGCAACTATAGGAGCCAATGAGAACAGTTTAAAGTTTTGTCAGCGTTTGTTCTTAATCAGATTAACGTACGGACGGTAGTAGTAGTGTAGTACTACAGTACGACATGAAGTGGGATCCCGATTGTTTATGTTTGTACTTGTATTTACAACAACTATTTTATTATTATAATTATTTTTTGTGTGTGTGTGTGTGTTAGTTACTTAGTTGTAAATGTGAACACGTTATAAGCAAGCAGAAGAGTTTAATTTGAAAAACTACAAATTTCTTATAATTTAATGTACAACATATAAAGAAACGCAAAAACTGCATTAAAAAGTATGGAGATCCTAATGGATGAGATCTTGTATATGAAGCAGGTGAGTACTTGAAAACTCAGGATTTTCTACAACCGTTGGAACGTGTTGGAGCAAGAGCTTGTACGAAGGAGGAAGGGATCATCAGGAGCAGTGTGGATACTACCGCGGCGTCGTCGGAGCTGAAGTCACAGCACGTGCTCCCCGGTGGCATAGGGACTTACACGATCAGTCATATTCCTAGTAACTTGTATCATCATCATAACCAGCAAGTTCCTAAATCAGAGGTGTCGCCGATGTTCACGGTATCTCAAGCTAGCAGCAACGAGAGAAATGCAGCGGACGAGAATTCAATTTCTCATTGCAGTTCTAATTATGCTGCAAGTGGATTCACTCTGTGGGATGAATCCCTAGGGAAGAAAAGGCATACAAGGGTGGAGAATGCACGGGAGAGAACAAACATCATAGGTAATTAAAAAAAAAGATAACAAGAAAAAAATTGGAAATCTTATTATATACATTAACAAAGTATTTTTAAGATACTCACTCATTATAATATTAGTATTTTTTTGTTGCAAAGTGAGATACTTCACCTACCAATGTGGATGATCTTACGATGTTTTCTCATGGGTCGTATATGTAGTAGATGCAGCAGCACCAGTGGGACAGTGGCAAGGCATGGAGCAACGTGGCAGCTTCAGCTCTCACTCTTCTTTGCAGTATGTCATGATCTCATCGTTTACTTTTATTTTATAAGTAGTGTATTTTCTCAATTAATCCAAAGGTTATATATGGAATCAATGTCATCTTGAAGGACGTCTGGTCTAAAGAGCCGGAGCCAGAGCTTCATGGACATGATAAGATCTGCCAAAGGAAGTTCGCAGGATGATGATTTAGATGATGACGATGAAGAGTTCATCATGAAGAAAGAGAATAACACACCCACTAGCCAATGCCAGAGAGGTTTGTCTATTTTCTTCACTAGGTGGCTTTATTAGCAAACAATTCTTCAGTTTTAAACCAACAAGATTTTGTTATTTTTGTGATTTTGTTACAGAGGATTTGAGAGTCAAAGTAGACGGGAAAGGTCATGGTAACGAACAAAAGCCGAACACGCCTAGGTCAAAACATTCGGCAACAGAGCAACGGAGGAGAAGCAAGATCAATGATAGGTTAATTTATTCTCCATAAGATAATAATGATTTCAAATTGGCAAAGATTGTAAATAAAGTGATAATTTAAGTTATATAATGTGAATGAATATGAAACAGATTTCAAATGTTGAGACAACTGATCCCTAACAGCGACCAAAAGCGGGATAAGGCGTCATTCTTACTAGAGGTATCAAATAATGTCTTCGGAATACACACTTTTTAACATGTGTTTTTTTTTTCCTCCATATGTATTAGTGAATGTTTCTTTTGATCTCAAAATTGTTTAATACGTTATACGGTGATATAGGTTATCGAATACATTAACTTCTTACAAGAGAAAGTAAACAAACACGAGGTGATTCCTTACCAAGGAAAGCTTATGAATTGGGTAAAGATCCCATTTCTAATTAAAGATTACTCTTTCATTTTCTTGATTTCTTATCTTGAAGTCTTCTAATATTCTATGATTCTATCAAAACCAATCTTACAGAGAGATCATCAACAGCCACCGGAAGGAGCTGTTCCAGTCCTCGCAGACGTCGACATGGATCAACAGTGTCTTAACAGAGCAATAGAAACAATAACGTTAAGCAACAGAATATTCTCTACCGAATCGTCACAGCTTTGTCCAGTTTCATCTGATGCAGCAATGGAGAGCGAAAAGCTGAGAGAAGAAGAGGATAAAGAGGAGCTTTCTGTTCATAAGGGTACCATCAGTATATCAAGTGTTTACTCCCAAGGGTGAGTGCTTTTTTTTTTTTTTGCATTTTTTTCTTTCTAATCCATCAAAGCTAACGAAAAAGAAATGGTAAAAAATGGGGTTTTGGAATACAGGTTATTAAAAACATTAACAGAAACACTACAGACATCAGGAGTGGACTTGTCCAAAGCAAGCATCTCTGTCCAAATCAAGCTCTCTAAACAACCTCAAAAGGTCTGTTTCTATTGCTTATATTTTTAGTACTAAGGTATAAATACCTTGGGCTTTGAAAACAATAGGTATTTATTTATAACTTCTCATGTGATAATCTTATGACATTTATTTATTTTACCTTTGTTCTACGCACGGCAGGATGAAGACGTTCATCGGAGGGTTCGACCTCGGTCCCAAACTGGAGATGAAAACCACGACGATGACGACAACCATATCGTTAAGCAGCCACGGAAACAGAAAAAGCTTAAAAAAGAGAACAGCGTCAGAAACATATAATGAAGATACGAGTAACATTTTGCTAAAAAAAAAAAGAACAAAAAAGAAAGTAACACTAGGATCATTGGATCAATTTTTCATTTTATTAATTTTACAATTGGGATGAGCTAGGATGGAATACAAAAAGGGTTATATTTGGTTATCATATACTATCACTTCTTCTGTACATTTTAATATTTTTTTGTGTGCTTCTGTACATTTTAATATGAATTATATTATCGTCTTTCTCTGCTTCTGTTGAAAGACAGAGTATATAGAGCATCATATCATACAAACATTTTTCGTTTCTTTGGGAAACAAGATTCCAAGCATCTATTTATTTTAATTGTGAAATAAATGCCTTGAGATTCTAGTGATTCATGATTCCGTCCCAAATTTTAAACCAGACAGAAAAAACTATTCCCAAATTCCTGTTTTCAAAATATTATATCCCAAATTCTCGTTTGCCCATCCTAAAGTATTCATGGACATGGGAGAAATTTTGCCGACGAGTTTATGGATTTTGTACATGTAGCGGGTGGTGTACGCGCCACAGAAGCGCGTGGTTATAAACATGAAGTAATGGTGGCAAAGTCAAGGGCTTAATTCAACACCGTCCAAAAAAGCCCTTGTGTGTGTATATAAATTGGTTAGTGCAAATCACGTAGGGACGTAGTGCGGATGTGTTAATCACGTAAGTTGTGTAACCACTTCGCGAGTCACAATAACCGTTTTTCACTTTTACGGCGTTCTCGAGTCCATGATCCATCACACGTGCGGTCCTCTGCTGCAGTTACCAAAGTCTTTTATCAACTACATCAGAAGAATAAATTCTTACATCTGCATATTTTTTAACTAGTTGATAAAAAAATAAAAAAAATATACATGGATACCTTTCATTCAATGTATGAAAATTTATATATTTTCACCTATATAATAATAATTAATTGTCATAAGTTGAAAACAAATTAAATTAAATTATCATAAGTCACCAGCCAAGGAAAAACTAACTATCACAATTCACAAGTTTGATACTCACATTTAATAGTGTTTTTTTTTCTTTGGTTAAAGAATTTTCAATACCTCCTGCTCTTCCTCGTATACATATACATACACACGTAGACAGGCAGTTAATACACATCTCACTCGAGACATTCGTTTTCTCCACAAAACTAACTTTTCTCTCCCCAATCTCTAGCCAAAAATAACCACCGCTTTACAATGCTCCGGCTAAGCAACGCCGCCGTGATAACAACGAACGCAATCCTCGCATTGATCGGCCTCGCCACTTTATGTTTCTCTGTCTACGTCTTCATCGAAGGCCCCTCACAGTGTCAACGCTTCATTCAAAACCCTCTCATCGTAACAGCGACTCTCCTCTTCTTCATCTCTTCCTTAGGCCTTATCGCCGCGCTGTATAGCAGCCACATCATCATCACTCTCTACCTTTTATTCCTCTTCCTCTCCATTCTCATCCTCCTCGCCTTCTCCATCTTCATCTTCCTCGTCACCAACCCTACAGCCGGAAAAGCGTTTTCCGACAAGGGAATAGGCAATGTCAAGACCGGCGATCTGCAAAACTGGATCGGAAACCATTTCCTTCAAGGGAAGAATTGGGAAGGGATCAAAAGATGCATGTCTGACTCTACCATTTGTAGGTTTGGTCCACGTGATGTTGACTTTGACGCCAAACATCTCTCCAGTGTAAAGGTATGTTGTGTTTATACAATGCAGTTTAAGATTAACCGTTAAAAAATATATTTCATTTTTTGTATTTTTGGTTTTATTTAGTTCGGTTGTTGCCGACCTCCTGTGGAATGTGGCTTCGAATCAAAGAATGCCACGTGGTGGACAGTGCCGGCGACTACGACGGCAGCGATCACAGGTGACTGCAAAACGTGGAGTAACACGCAGAACCAGTTGTGCTATTCGTGCGAGTCGTGCAAGGTTGGAGTTTTCAAAGGGATAAGAAAAAGATGGAGGATCCTTCTCGTCTTCAATCTCCTTCTTATCCTTCTCGTCGTTTTTCTTTACTCTTGTGGCTGCTGTGTCAGAAACAACAATCGTGTTCCATGGAAGCGCCGGTTCCTCTAAAACTCCTTCCTTCGTTTCTCTAATTAATTAATTAAATATTTCTTCTCTTATTTTTTGTATTTTTTGAAAATTTAATTACTTCATGTTTGATGTTTCTTGAATATGAATATTGGTTTGCAAATCGGTTTGGTTATATTTAACCTAAAAGTTAACTCAAAAAAATTATATGATATTTCTGCAGAATAGGCAAGAGCTAGGAATAAATGTTTTATTGTTGTGTGGTCACATGCTTGAGGAAAGAAAAAAAAAAGAAAAGGTAATTAGAAGAGAGTTACATATGCGATTGAACACGTAAAGTTGGACCTGAAGGAGGGAAGAAACACTGCGAGCAAACACATTGGTTAAAGATACATTGTGCGAGTTTACAATCAAAACAATTTTGGCGGCAAGTCTTGTTGTGGTTGCAAGGTCCTCCATGTTGCATCGTTGTAACATCCTTTGCTTCTCCACTAGTATGTAATGTTTTTTGTGGAGGAGGGAAGAAACACTGCGAGCAAACACATTGGTTAAACATACATTGTGCGAGTTGACAATCAAAAAAATTTTGGCGGCAAGTCCTGTCGTGGTTGCAAGGTCCTCCATGTTGCATTGTGGCATATTTCACTTCTTCAGTAAGTCTGACTCTTCTCTCCGATCCTTTAGCTACCCACAAACCTACAATTATTTCATGTGTATGATATATTGTTGGAATGCATATCATCATCAATATCTAGCAATTTATAATAACTCTTATAAAATAAATAAATAAAATCAACTAAGAATTGAAATTTCTTATAACTTATAACATATACCAAAGCTCACTATATATATATATATATTTTTTTTTTTGTCAAAACAAAATTTTTAGAAAGACAAAGGAAACAAAAACACACAAACACAACGCATACAATTTATTGTACCTAAAAGCTTAGAGATGGACTCACATGAAAGTGATAACAGAAAGGCGAGACAAACTACTTTGCTCAACACCATTTTCTCCAATAGTATGATAATTTTGGTTCGTTGTACTTTCTTGTTGAATGTAAAGTTAATATTGATTCTTATGATACATGTGTATATATATACACATAAGTATTGCAACTGGCAGGTCTAAAGCACGGTAGCTGGAAGATTCGCATGCCCAATTTAGATGATCATTTTTGATATAGAATTCATTAATTTTGGAAGTAAATTATACGATTTACCAGCTTGGAAACAAATTCAACTATTCGATTCAGAATTCAGATTGAGGTAAGGTCCTCATCAGTTAGATAAGCTCTGTCAACGGAGCCAATGTTGTGGAATTAAAGAAGGTAACAAATCAGAACCGAGAAATCGATCCGATGATTCCAATAATGGATGCGTTTTTTTTTCTCTCTTTTTTTGTTGACTCAAATGATTATTGACTTGCTCGTTGTATTTGACAATTTGAATATGAATTCATCAACTCGTTTCATTACGACCTGTGGAACCAATCAAACACTTGAACAAATTCCACTATTTTTCTTCCAAAGCATGTTCGGTTTCGCTTAGTCCTCCGCTGGCTTCGAATCAAAGAATGCCACGTGGTGGACAGTGCCGGCGACCACGACGGCAGCGATCACAGGAGACTGCAAAACGTGGAGTAACACGCAGAACCAGTTGTGTTATGCGTGCGAGTCGTGCAAGATTGGAGTTTTCAAAGGGACAAGAAAAAGATGGAGGATCCTTCTCGTCTTCAATCTCCTTCTAATCCTTCTCGTTGTTTTTCTTTACTCTTGTGGCTGCTGTGTCAGAAACAACAACCGTGTTCCATGGAAGCGCCGGTTCCTCGAAAACTCCTTCCTTCTTTTTCCTAATTAATTAAATATTTCCTCTCTTTTTTTTTTTTTTTTGAAATTCTAAGTACTTTCATGTTTGGTGTTTCTTAAATATGAATATTGGTTTGCAAGTCGGTTTGGTTATATTGATGTGTAAATGCATTGGATATATAAGAGTTATAAAACGTAAAAGTTAACTCAAAAAAATTATATGATATTTCTGAAAAATAGGCAAGAGCTAGGAATAAATGTTTTATTGCTGTTTGGTCACATGCTTGACGAAAGAAAAAGATAAAAGGTAATTAGACACGTAAAGTTGGACGTGGAGGAGGGAAGAAACACTGCGAGCAAACACATTGGTTAAAGATACATTGTCCGATTTTACAGTCAGAACAATTGTTGTGGCAAGTGCTGTCGTCGGTGCAAGATCCTCCATGTTGCATCGTTGTTGCATCCTTTGCTTCTCCACTAATATGTAATGCTTTTTGTGGAGGAGGGAAGAAACACTGTGAGCAAACGCATTGGTTAAAGATACATTGTGCGAGTTGACAATCAAAACAATTTTGGCGGCAAGTCCTGTCGTGGTTGCAAGGTCCTCCATGTTGCATCGTGGCATATTTCACTTCTTCAATAACTCTGACTCTTCTCTCCGATCCTTTAGCTACCCACAAACCTACATGTATTTCATATGGCATATTGTTTGAATAAATGCATATCATCATCATCAAAAAGGTGATGTATCTAAAAGTTTAGAGATGGACTCACATGAAAGTGACAACAGAAAGGCGAGACAAACTACTTTGCTCAACACCATTTTCTCCATTAGTATGATAATTGTGGTTCCTTTTACTTTCTTGTTGAATGTAAAGTTAATATTGATTCTTATTATACATGTGTATATATATACACATAAGAATTGCAACGGCAGGTATAAAGCACGAGATCTTGAAGATTCTCATGCCCAATTTAGATGGTCAGTTTTGATACAGAATTCATTAATTTTGGGGGAAAATTTATACGTTTGACCAGCTTGGAAACAGATTCAACTATTCGAATCAGATTGAGGTAAGATCGTCATCAATTAGATAAGCTATGTCAACGGAGCCAATGTTGCGGAATTAAAGAATAAATCAAAAACGAGAAATCGACCCGATGGTTCAAATAATGGATGCGTTTTCTTTTTCTTTTTTTTTGTTGCCCCAAATGATTATTGACTACTCGTTATATTTTGATAATGTGAATATGAATTCATCAACTCGTTTCATTATTATTGTTGTTTTGGCATGAACAGATATTCAAAGTTACGTTTCCCTTTTGAAAGGTTAGATAACTGATCGTGTGGAACCAGTCAAACACTTGAACAAATTCCACTATTTTTCTTCCAAAGAATGTTCTGTTAAAATCTCTGGGAACAGTAACAAAATGAGTCTGGATAAAACCGCAAGCTTACTTGAGGAAAGTACAAGAAAGAAACAAAAACACATAAGCAACCAATGATGTCAAGAGCTCGAGTGTCCATGTCGGCTGAATGAGAAACGTCGGAATCATTGGAATGAGCAGCGAACCGCAGAACCACCCAGCCGTTAAAGCACCAATTCTGCAATCAAACCAAACCAAACCAAATCATTAAACCGAAAAAGAAAGATTTCATCTTTTTAATCCAATAGCACCAAAGATTTTACCCGATCAAGCAAGCTCTCCCCAAGCTCTTCGTCTTCTCATTCAAGAAATATATGCAAGCAGCCAACGAGACCGCCACCTACAAGTAACAACAACAACCAAAAGATTTCAGAAACTGACAATTCTTGATCTCAAAACCACAAGGCCATTGTAAAAGCAGCAAACCTGAAAGGCAGGACCGCCTTCTGCAGAGTTCATGATACTCCAACCACCCATGAAGGCAAAGAGGAACAGTCTTCTGAAGATAGTGTCCATCGGAGGCATTTCAACAAAATCTAACAGAGCTTTGAGCCACGGAGGAGACTCGTCGACTTTCTTCTTCAGCTTTGTTTTGAGATTGATCTTAGTCTTCTTCCTCTTGATGAAACTTGACATGAGAAGCTTCTCAAAGGCGCCTTCTATCGACTCTTGGCTTCTCTCGTGTCCAGCGTACTGCTCCAAGAGAAAGTTACGAGAGGCCCAGATTTCTTCCTCGGAAGCATACGGACTGATTCCTAAACGCTTGTATGGATCCCAAACTCTCGTCCTCGGGAACGTTGGGGCGTTGCCTATACAATTAGAAACATGTCACATCACTTCTCATTCATATAGTAGCCACACATGAGCAACAACGAAAAGTTCGAAATTTGAGAAAGAGCATATCTTTAACACTAAGCTAGCTTTCTACTATCTAAATCTTCAAATGTTCTTTAAATATGGATAAGTTCGAATTTTTTTCTAATCGACAGTGACGAAATTGAGGACTGGAATTACAAATTGAGGGAGAAGAAGATAATACCTCCTCCGTATGGGGAATCAACGGCGCACCTAGGGATTTTGAAGCTTCTTGAAACATTCCGAAATGGTAACAGTGACTTATTGGGGTTTCGTGATAGAGAACTGCAATCAGAAACAACAACGAGGTACAGAAGCTTTAATTCTAGAACATACGAAACAAACCCTAAAATTCGAGGTCAATCGAACGATTCAAATCCGGATTCCGATACCGACTAGAGCAAAGACGCGAAGGAAAATCGCGAATAATTTCCACGAGCTAATTCCAGTCAAATCCCTAAGAAAGAAGCTGAAATGAAGGAAGAGAAAGGGAGGGAGATGTTACGGCTTCGATGGAGCGATAAACGGAGAAGAGACTGTAGAACCGGAGAGAAGAAGAGACGAGGACATGGTTGCTCCGTCGGATTGACCGACGTCGTTTGGTTCACTTTCGCCTAGTCCTCCGGTAAGGATGAACAATGGCTATGTTTTTGCACTCTATACCCAAACTTAAAATTAAAAAAGAAAATGGAAAGATAAGTGTGGAATTCAGCTATCGTGCGCCGCTTTGCTTACATTAAAGAACTACCCCTCGTCTTTCATATTTTATGTTAATGTACTCTTATTTAATAATATCTTTGAATATCACCCCTAATTCCTAAATAGGTAATTTAGCACCTCGCGGTTGTTCATCAAAAAGTATCCTGCGCCGCTTCCCTAATTAGAGAGTTACCCCTCCTCTCTCATATTTTCACGTCCATGTCCTTGTACTCTGTAAAATATTCGAATATCACCCCTAGTTTCCAAATAAGTCTTTTAACCCCCCCCCCCGTGGTTGGTCACCAAATAGTGTGGTGCTATCCTGCGCTGCTTCCCTAAATTAGAAAACTACCCATCGTTTCTCATATTTTCACGTTCATGTCCATGTATTTTGTGAAATATTCGAATATCACCCCAAATTACTAAAAGGAAATATGACCCCTCCTAATTGGTCGCCATTCACCAACACCAGCACCAAGTACCAAGCCGGCTTCCTTTACCCAACCATACATACAGTAACAAGTACAATTTCATATAGAGGGGTAAGGATCGCACTGCTATTATGTACCACTTGATACACTCACACAAGACAGATTCCACAATTTCGTATAACAAGTACAACATCTTTTACCTCTTTATTTATGTGTGAATTGAGAATCATTTATCGATACAGACATGGATGTGGATTGTACAACAAAAGACCAAATGCTGTGTGTTAATGGCAAAACAACATTTGGTATTGGAGAGAGCAACTGTCTCATAGCTTAGAGTTTAGACCGGAATGAGTGAGCCGTTGCCTTAGTACCCTTCTCATAACCTTATTTGTAGCCGTCCTCGGCAGAGACGGCAGAGTCACTACAGACGATACCTGCCATCAAAAACAATCACATTAGCCCAAAACTTATCGTATAAAATTGTGCAAACAACATAGCAACTTATGAAACTCTGTTCTGTTTTGTTGTTGGTATATATAAACAAACCTTGAACAGTGGATTAAGTTTCTTTTGTATCTCAGAGTTGAAAGACTTCTTCAAGAGGCTCAAGTCGTGATTTGCCAACTCTGGACTGTTGAACACAACAGCAATTACTAGCTGCTCAGGACCGCCATTGAGAGGCGGTACACCGATGGCTGCTGTCTCCAAGATACTATCATCAACGGAGTTACAAACTCGCTCGATCTCAACAGAACCGACCTGCAAAAAAAACGATCAACATAGAAACTTTTAATGATTGTGGTGATGATGTGCATTGTTTGTAAGTAAGTCTAACCTTTATGCCACCAAGATTCATTGTGTCATCAGCACGTCCGTGAGCACGGTAATATCCTCTTGAAGTCCGTTCAAACAAATCTCCGTGTCTTCGTAAAATCTATCGAAAAGCAGGTAAGCCACAGACTCAAAAACCTCTGTATAAATGTGGCAAGAGTTGGATTAAAACCTGTCCTTGGAAGGTTGGCATTCCTTTGAAGTAAACTTTGTAGTGGTTTCCGTTCAGGAGAGTGCTTGAAGCTCCAAACACGTGAGGATGAAGAGCCAATTCGCCCACTCCCTCTACATTTGGAGGCTGAAAACGAAGAATAACAACCACACTAACTTCAGTTGAATCTGCTTCAGAAGAGACACTGCAAATGATATCATAAAGTTTCTTACAAGAGGATTGCCATCTTCACCAAGAATGAAAAGCTTGCAACCCATAGCAGCGGTGCTAAAAGCAGCAAGCGACTGAGGCTGAAGCAAAGAGCCTGCGATGAAACTGCCTCCAATCTCAGTTCCGCCACAATACTCGATTACAGGGCTGAAATGAGCTCTCCCCATCAGCCATAGATACTCGTCTACATTCGAAGCTTCACCAGTCGAACCAAAACAACTATCAAAAAGAAATGTGAATGTTTTAGTGTATATACAAATCATCTTTGGTTTAATGATTCTGAAGATGAGTTTTAGGTATTACCGGATTCGTGACCAATCATAACCAGAAGAAGAGTTTGAGTTTTTCCATGTCCGAACAATGCTTGGTATCACGCCCAGCACTGTAACCTCTGCATCCTAAACCCACAATATAAACATAAGAGTCAATTCAAGGCAGTCCAAAATGAGATGAGAGAAGCATAACTATATGGCTTATTATTACCTGCACAAACTTGGCAAAGGAAGGACCAAGAGGTGATCCATTGTATAAAGCCATGCAAGCCCCATTAATCAAGGAAGCATAAACGAGCCACGGACCCATCATCCACCCAAGGTTGGTCGGCCAAGCAACAACATCTCCCCGGTGAACATCCAAGTGGCACCAAGCATCAGCAGCAGATTTCAGTGGAGATATGTTCGTCCATGGAATAGCCTTTGGCTCACCTACACCAGAAAAAAAAATCAAAAACCTTAAACTGTTTCAACACCACACCACATCCTCATCTACACGTTTGTTTTCATTGGTTTAAACCTGTGGTTCCTGATGAAAACAGGATGTTCGTGTAAGCTCCCGCTGGTTTCTCTACGGCTACATATTCCACGCCTCTGAAAATAAAAAAATATAACTTATCAAAACACTATTCAAATTTTCAACCACTGCTATAACAGAAGTACTGTAAACACTGACTGTACCTCAAATTTCTTGCTTTTCCAAGAAAGTCGTTCCAAGACAAATCATTCTCACGCAGGTTCACACTGATGCTAGAGCCTCTCGCTGGGATAACAATAGCCACAGGTGCTTCTGCATCAACAACTCTTCTGCATAATGGAACATATAATATGAGACCAATGCATCTTGAGAAAGAAAGAAAAAAACAACCTTGATGAATTACAAAGAATTTCACCTATAGAGTGGAATATTTTTATCACCACGAATGATCACATCCTGGAAACAACGAACACAAAACGAAATGAAGAATTACAATAAAATTCAAGAAAAGTGGCTTTGAAGAATGATGAGAGACTGATTTTCACCTGAGTAAATATGGCTTTTGCTTTTGAGATCTTAAGCCGTGTTGATATTTCTTGAGGAGAGAAACTATCAGCTATGGAAACAACTACGTGGCCTGATAAGACAATGGCAAGGTATATAACCACAGACTCAACATTCATCGGCATATCAACCGCAATCGCAGACTCTTCCTCCAAACGCAAGGCATTGAGAGCATGTGCAGCTAACCTACACCATAACAGCATCATTGACATTCTCCACCAAGAAACAAAAAAAAGAGAGCACAAGGATGAGAAGTAATTCATACCAGACCTGTGCTCGTAACTCGACAAGTGTCATGGTGTTGACCGGAAGATCATCGCTTCCTTCGTCACGCCATCGGATCGCAACGTCTTCCGATCTTCTGTTGAGACCATTGGCCAAACAGATTCTTGCGGGATTCAAGTAGGCTCCAGGAAGCCAGTTCCCTCCAGGATTGTCTCCAGAGGTGTCATTTTCTAGAATGCACTTTGGAGGTACTGAAAACAATATGTTTAACTCATCCAGAACAATTCTCCAATACACCTGACAAACGAAACAGTAAGGCAAATTATCAAATTATAATTATGCCATAATCATGAAGCTTATGGCGTTAATGAGACCAATGTTACCTCAGGATTTGATACGGAGAATTCCTGAAAGCTGGAGAAGCTCGAAATGGGATTCTTGTAATTTTCACCTAACAACTCTTTGCCACGCCTCTCTAGCAAATCGCCAACGTTGGTTAAAGAAGCAACCTTGCTATGTATATACACAAAGCAGAGCAAACAATTACTAGGAGCAAATTAAGTAATTAACATGAAGGTATTAGATTATTAAGAGTTTGTTGAGGACATACGGGTCGGGTATCCAAGCGGGTGGGTCGGGTCCGAAATCCTTGTAGCAGCCGTAATAGAGCATCTGGTGAAAAGAGAAAGGGAGATCAGGGTGAAGGATCCGCCGAGAAATCTGAACCCACGTCTCCGGCGGCGTGGCGAAACTGTAATTACGAATAATCTCTTGGAGATCTCTGAGGAGCCTCTCCGCGACATCGCCGGATATCCCAAGAGCTTCGATATCAGACCTCGTGATTGAGTCTAGAGATTTGTACGCCATTTTTTTGTTTTCAGATAGAGAAACAGGAGAAAGAGAGTGGCAGTGGGGAGAGGGAAGCTTCTACACGTTATTAAAGAAAGCTCTTGAATGCCACGTGTCAATCTAGACTTAATCTCTTTTCTTGTCCTGATCTCTGACAACACCATTCCACGTCTGATTATCTTCTTCTTGTTGGGGGCGTTACATTTTTTTTTTTATATTTTTGTATATGATGTTAGTATGTTACATACTTTCATTGTATCTAAAGACGAAATGGTTAACAAATTTATCTTCATTGATTTTATAAATCATCAATGTAAAAGACAAGTAATAATTCGAAAATCTTTTTCTCTCAAAGTTGAGAAATGAAGGAAAAAGAACAAGACATGTTTAGCTATATGATAAGGTAATAGCATCTTGTTTTCAGTCGGAGCTAGGAAGGAACTTGGTTCCGGATCTAGTACCGAGGCCTGCCGGAATAATCCTCGATGGAGACAAGACCTGTGCGAACGAGAAGTTGTAAGAATCAGTGCCTAACCGGCTCTGCAACCATCCTCTGCCACCGGAGAAACCATCTGTCACAATCCAGCAATTCTTAAACCCAAGAACCTTTAACGTTTTCGCCACTATTTTAGCTGAATCCGAGTACCTAACGCGCCAAAAAGACCGATAAAAGATTAAATCTTTTTGGTGCAGAAATGATTCACATAAAGTCTTGCAAAGAGTAGTAAAATAAAAACTCACGAGTCCATGATGATGATATTGGAGCCTTTGTTGACTCTCTTGAGGTAAGAAATCTTTAAAGCTGCTATCTCTGCTTCAACACGTTTCGAGTTCCTCACTATTCCTTTTACTTTGTTCGGTAGCTCTTCTAATCTGATGATAATCAAAATAACAACGCCATTGTTTCTTTCATGTACTCTCGCGAAAGAAAACATGAAAAAAAAAGATCAAAGTTTAAACACTTACGGAATGGCGATCATGCGGTTCTTAGCGCTTGAAGGGAGACGAGGAATCCCAGCTTTGTCCTTTTCTTTCTCTGATCTTACGTCTACCAACAAGTAGTTCTTGGAACACAGAACGTCAAGCGTTTGTGCCGGCGTGAGATCACCTGAAAACATAATCTTCAAACATCTGTTTCCTAAACAATATACATGAGTTTGAGGCAGAGAAATGGAGGTACCTTTGTAACCACGGAAGTTAAAAGATATGAGAGACCAAACAGGAGGTAGGAGAAGGTAAGCAAGAAACGCTGCACCAGCAGTAACAGCGATGACACTAGGATCAGCTGAAGAAATTGTGTCAATGGTCGATGAAGCAATCGGCTTAGCATCTTCAAACGCCTTTGTTGTCTGTTGCGCTACATCTGTTACTGTCTACACATCCCAACCAAAAAAACACACAAATCTTTTTATTTGATGTCCACAAAACCTAAAATTGATGAGTTCTAAGGTAAAGTAATCTGACCTTTGCAGCGTTATAGACAGGCTCTGCATCAATACCAGAGCTTTGCATTGCTTCTTGAGCTTTCTTTGAAGCCTCTGAGAAGGCAGGAGAGGCAAGCTTTATAGCCTCTTCACCGGCTTGTTTAGCGATGGGCAAAGCAGTGTCAAAGGCTGGTTTAAGAGCATCTCCTACTACTTGGAATACACGCTGCGTTGCATCGAACACACTCGAGCCAGTTTCTGAAACTTGGTTGATTGTTTTCTCCACCTGTTAAGACATCGATTTAGGTTTCAGAAAGAGAGAGCAAGGGAAGAAGTTTAAAGTTAAGTGAGATGATGATTACTTCAGTGATAGAGGAGACGATTTGGTCCTTGGAAATGGAAACAGCAGCTTTGGCTTCGTGAAGAGGAGATGCGAAGAGAGATAACAGAGAGATTGATGTTGGAAGTGCGACAGAGATTTGTCTAATTGATCTCTTCTTACACGGAGAAGAAGAAGAAGGAAGAGTGAGTTTTGCAGTTACTAAAGACTTCATTGCCATCTCCGCCATAGCCATGGTTTCTCTGTCACTCTTCAATTCAATGTGACAGAGAAAGAGAAAGAGAGAGAGAGAGACAAAGTAACGCAGGTCTTGTCTGCAAACTATTTATTCAGCTTTAACATTTTTTTGAAGATCATAAATATATTTCACACTGGAAATTGAGTTTATGGTTATGAGCGTCTCTGGAAAAAGCGATCGAATAAAAGGAGGATTTGAATGATGGGTTCTGATTGGTCAGACTAATCCTACGTGGCAGTTGGTGGTGCAAGCTGAGCCACCCATTATCGATCTAAAATGGAATGGTTGCTTTTGCTTTTTGATATTACTGTATGTATATGTCATACGACAATTTTGTACTTATATAAAGAAAAAAATCTTGAACTAATAGCAGAGATTTACTACAGAAAATTGAATAACAAACATCATCTTATGTTTGAACAACAACCCAAAACTGCAATTAAACTTCATCACACACTTAGTTATCTCGAAGATTGACTGAATTTTGTTTGGATTCCCTTTCTTCTGGTTCCTCAATCAAGTGAAGTAACCAAAACCACACTTATTTAACCCTCTTAACTCATAATATCTGAACTTACTTTGGTTTAGCAAAAAACATTTTTCTCTTCATACTAATTTGCCCCATGATTGAAGGAAGATGAACAAAAACACACCATAGCATTCACAAATATATTTTAACGCCATGCATGGTAACAAACAAGCTCCGGTTTATGGATTACACCAGTATGCTATTAAGATCATGTTTTGTCAAAGCACAAGCCTAGAAAGTCATAAGTTAGTAGTGCCACCAGCAACACATATTCTCTATAATAATATAAGAGAATCAACACTGTTTTATCATGTTTTACCACCCTCCAGTGAGGGGAATCAAAGAAAGATCACAAGTCTTTATTTTTGAAGAACAAGATTCTCCTTTTATTACCTAATTTGTAAATGGAATCATGTTACCATTTGAAGTTTGCTCCAAGGAATATTAAAACCCACGAGCTCAGGAATCTATCCACTTGACCATATTCCCTCACCTTTATTTCTGTACTGCCAAAGAAGGGAAAAACAGAACACAAGAACACCAATGACTAACAACAAAAAGTGTCTTTTCAACAGTAGATGTCTGATAGAGACACGAAAGTTTCCTGAGTGAATTTGATTCTTCTTGAAAATCAACTTTCACAAATAGTAACGAGCTAATGCGTAAGGAACAGTAAGTAGCATGACTAGCTAGACTGTTATTTGCATCAAGAAAACCAGAGATCACATAAAACCTCGAGAGGAACAACATGGCCATCTTCAGGCCAAAAAACAAAAAACAAAAAAGATGAAGAAAACAAGCTAACGACATTATCATTCAGCCAACCAACTATGAACACATACGGACTAGAAGGTAGACCTACTGACGAAAACATAAACCAAACCTTTCAAAGAGACAAGAATCTTCTCTCATTACTTGCTTTCATTGCCGTCAATCTCAGCCCAAGAACAAACGTCTTTACATATTTCTTTCCTTTTTTTTTTTTGGTTCTTGAACAAAAATTTGACTTGATTTCATTGTCCTTCAGTTACAAGTTAGAGCTAAGATCCTCAAGAAACAATACTTACAGTTAAATCTGAGATTAAGAGATTATTTGAATCGAAAAATATCTTTCTCTGACTGTTTTCTTCTCATAATTCAAATAGATTTGAAACAAAACAAGAAAAGGCGACAAATCAGGAAGGATAAGCGCTGGATGCAGAGGTTTATCGATCGATTCATGCTTTCCATGTGTATATTTCCCCAAACATGCCAGGAATTGATCGATGAACCGCTGCCTCCAGCGACTTCAACTTTCATCATATTCGTCAACGAATCCAAAGACAGTGAGCAAAGAAGAACAAAATCACAGATCTGATAAATCATTTGATCAAGAAGTTGGATCTCGAAAGATAAAAACGTAATAGATAAATTTACAGAGAGGTAGATGCAGAATAATATTTACGATGTGAAGCTCATATTATACCTATATATATAGAGAGAGGGTGAAGAGGAGTGTGGTTACATCATATGCATGTGAGAATAACTTGAATGAAGGAGAGGGAATCTGAGATTTTTCAATATTCAGTAAAAAGGAATCAAACACACACAAAGACCAACGATTATTGCAACAAGGAATCTGATGACTCACCGTTTTCTCCTTTTGCCGTACATATTTTTTTTTTTTAACTCAATCCTCGTCTTTTGTCCTTTTGGTCAACAAAATTTGCGTCCATGATTGAATGACAGATGATTCTGATCAAGTTTTTCTTTTACTTTCTGTTTTTTCTTTTTAGATAGTCTATAAAGTAGAAACTATGAAAATTTAGGAGACCAATGAGGCAATGATTCTCCTTTTTCTGGTAACAAATAAATATCTGGGTTTTTATAGTTAAAAATAAAATAAAAAAGAAATGAATAATAATAGATGTGGAAGAAGAACAAAATCACAGATCTGATAAATCATCGATAGTCTAGAAACTATGAAAATTTAGGAGACCAATGATTCTCCTTTTTCTGGTAACAAAATAAATATCTGGGTTTTTATAGTTAAAGTTAAAAAGAAAATAAATAAAAAGTAATAGATGTGGAAGACTTTTGTCTAGTTCTTCAGTTCAGGCTTCGGCATCAAATTTTGACTTTAGTTCGGTTCCCCCATTTTAAGATTTTTGGATAAATCTTGATCAAGATTTAATAATTTTAGTTTTACATAAAAATTATCAAGATTATTAAATCTTCATGGTAAATAATCGTTTTCATTTTTAAATAAAAATAGTGTCAGAAAAAGATACAGATTTGTTGCTTTGTATAAATTTGAAAAGTATATGTGAAATATCCTAATTTAAAAATTAGATAGGTGTTTAAAATTTTATTAAAGTCTTTCACTTTTATTTCAAAATTTCACCTAGAACTTTATAATTAGTGACTGAATGATACACCAAAATTTTGACTTAAATGTTCAAATGATTTGCCGACAAAATAAAAAATGTTCAAATGAATTAGAGCACCCGTCGTTCCAATAAACCCCTATTTGAAATCTGTGTCTTAAACCCTAAAATAAAGTTTGGACTTCCTGCGGCTTTCATCTTCTTCCTCTGTAATCAAACGGATCTCTCAATGTTTGCTGCTTCCATGAGAACACTAATCTCTCCATCTCTCGCGCCTTTCTCTCTTCACCTCCCTAAACCTGCTCTCTTCTCTACGGTTCTCCGCGCCTCCCACTATTCTCTCACCAATCTCCGCTTCCCGGTGAACAGATTCCCAATCGGCTCGCCTCCTTCCGCGGTTTCCAGCAGGGACTTACAGACGGAGGCGGCATCTCACTCGCTCTCCTCCTCCTTCTCTTCTCCCGGAGAGATACACGTCGTCGTCGGTCCAATGTTCTCCGGGAAAACAACGACGCTTCTCCGCCGTATGCTCGCGGAAAGGGAAACCGGGAAAAAGATAGCGGTTATCAAATCGGATAAAGACACGAGGTACTGCGTTGAATCGATTGTGAGCCACGACGGTGAGAAATTCCCTTGCTGGGCTCTTCCGGATTTATCGTCGTTCAAGGAGAGATTCGGATTAGATGCTTATAAGAATCAGCTGGATGTGATTGGGATCGATGAAGCTCAGTTCTTCGGAGATCTCTACGAGTTTTGCAGGGAAGCTGCTGATAAGGAGGGCAAAACGGTAATTGTAGCTGGATTGGACGGAGATTATCTGCGGAGGAGGTTCGGGTCGGTGCTGGATATAATTCCGATTGCGGATACGGTGACGAAGCTGACGTCACGGTGCGAAGTGTGTGGGAAGAGAGCTTCGTTTACGCTGAGGAAGACGGATGAGAGAGAGACGGAGATCATCGGAGGAGCCGAAGTGTATATGCCGGTGTGTCGGAGTCACTATGTGAGCGGTCAAGGCGTTTTGGAGACCGCTCGCGCCGTTTTAGATTCTTCCCGCAAAACGCAACGCGCGATTTAGCAACTCCAGTTTAGTGGGATGTTTCAGAGATTCGGCTTTAGAAGTAAAGAATGTTTGAAAATTGGATCAGTGATTAGCTTTGATTTCGGAATTTTTAGGTACCGTGAAATGGTCTCAATTGGATTTATAAACCAATTTTGAAATGAATTGAGGAGAAAACAAAAAAAACACAACATACTATCTTTATCTACACATTTTATGTAATTGGAGATTGATCAACAATACAAGTCTAGACGTCTAGTACAATGTAAGCAATTGTATACCGGCAAAAATAATAAGTTAAGCTCATAGTTGCAAGTGCTCTGACGTTTAACTCCGATTAGGCTTATCTCTCATCGCCTCCGCTTCTCCCGCCTTGACTCTTTCCGTTCTTCATCCGAGCTGTAACGCGAAGAAGTGGACTTCCTGTGATGCTTTGAATGCTTCTTGTGGCTGCTTCTCTTCTCTCTAGAAGATTCTCCCCGCTTTCTTCTCGATCTTGAACTTTGCTTGTCCCGGCTGTGGTAGTCGCCGGACGAATCACTCTCTGTACCATAGTGTCTATGCTTATCTTTCTTAGATCGTTTTCTCCTCCGTTCATCTCCTGAGGATTCACTTGATGATAGATCGTCTCTGCTGCTCCGCTTTCTTGGCGTTTCCTCTCTCTTTTTTTTACTCCTTTCTTCTTCAGACCCAAGTGTGAGGCTGTTTGTCTTCTCCTCTGATTGCTCTTTCAATTCAGGTCTTTTCTCAGAAGATGCTTCGGATTTGCCTTTGGACTTGTTATCTTCTTCCATTGGCTTGGTTGCTTCCGGGTACGTGACATCAGAAGGTACTTCAAAACCTAGCTCTTTCCCTAGAGATTCTAGAAAATCACCAGCTATCAGTCGGTTTAATGTTGTTGCAGCCGCTTCGTTCTTCTTTTCTTGACCCTCTGGTCTTTTTCCATTCATAGGTTGTTCTTCATCATCTTCTGAATCATCAGAAAATATGGCCTGCAAGTGGACATGACTAAATATCAATCGACGGAAGATATTACATTGAGCTAGCATAAATTTTCTCAGACAAAGACACCTTCTTCGTTACCTTGTAAAGATCAACAGGTCTCTCCAGATTCTCCACTTCTACCTCGGCTTCAGGCTCTTCCACTGATGTCTCTTTCTTAGGCTCTTGTAGATTAGAGACTTGACGTGGTCCCGACCCAGATGCAGCTTTCACTGTATCCGGCAAGAATATGAGAGAATCCATCTTGTTTCTCGCTCGCGGAGCAGTTGCCGGCTGTAAAATTGAAGGGGAAATGTATTAGACTGAGTCAAACATTAAATCTTAAGCATGAGCAAGAACATGACACTGAAAATTTATAACATTCAACGAATATAAGGTTTTAAATGGCACTCCTGAAAGGGAAGCAAGAAACACATTACCTTCCCCATGAAAGGATCAGGGAGATCAAAGCGTTTGCACAGAAGAGATGCAGGACGCCATTGGAACTCTTCCCTTTTAGGGTATGTAGTACTCGATTTCATATCGACCACTCCACTGTCTTTAATTTGCTGCACAAAAAAGTTATTTGCATATGAGTATAGAACCTCCAACGAATAAACAAATCACTGCAATGACGATTCTGTATACATACCTCTGTTCCACCAGAAGTAAACTGCAGCCCTCCTGCAAGGAAGTCGAGAGGCTTTTCAGTAGCTCGTCTGACCTCCTTGTAAGCTTTTCCTTTCTCAATCGCTTCAGCTGCAGCCTCAAAGTCCAGCCTCTCTTGAGCACGAGCCGACTCCGACATGCTGTTAACCCTGTCGGAGTTTGTTGTACGCAATCCTCCTTTGTATTTCTCCTTGAGAAACTGCTCAAATCTTTCTTGTTTGGCCGGGTCATCTTTGAAGGGCTTGACAGCATCTGCTTTCTCTTGCTATTTCAAGAAGAGAAAGACAAGTCTAGAATGTTAGTCCAAGAGAAACAAAAGCAGATTATTTCCCAGAAACAAAATTACCAAGTGTAATCAAGTTAAAAGTCTTGTAAGTTGTGAAGCTGGTCTACTTACCGTTGAAGCTGATTTGGTGAATGTGTCAGAGAGATTGGTCGGGAATTGGAAGGAGCCTCCAGAAGAAGCAGAGGTATCATTTTCTTTCAGACTTTTCTGCAGTGGCTTTTCCCCCAATAAGCTTCCACGTGTTTCTGCAGTCATTTTCTGCACGCTTGGAGAGGGCTTAACTTCGAATAGCAGCTTACTTTGATCACCGCGCTTTTGTTGCTCCTCCCACAGCCTTCTTACGTAGTAGTCATGACCGTTACCTCCACGAAGAAAATCAAACAACTGATTTGATTGGTTCTTCTCTCTAGAAAGATCCTCGTATAGTTTCCCGCAACGGGAAACAAAAGTTGCAAACCCATCGATCAAAAGCTTTAGATTATTATTTTCAGGGGGAGGAACATCTGGAGGAGCAGAAACCGTTGGCTTCGATTCAGCCTCACGAGGACCAGAAAATTTATGCCGGGCCACAAAGTCCTTTGGGATTTTCGGAGGATCAAATCTGGTACAATTTAGAAAACATACAATGAATTAGAGTATCAATACAGATGAGAATAGATAGTCGTAATCAGAAAAGTAAGAGAGCAAGAGCTCCGTCGGACGTGCAAATTAGTTAGTGTAGAATTTTCGGAGGATCAAATCTGGTACAATTTCGGAGCTCCATTGGACGTGCAGTTGTGTCATGATGAGTAAAAATTAGTTAGTTATACCTCTCTACACTGTAATCAGAATTCGAGGCAGCTCCAAACCCTGGCAGATGATTATGCTCTTTTGAGGTTAACCTCAGTCTATTGTCATTGCTTGGTCTTACTGGCTGTTCATCTTCAATGACATAAGTCTGATTGAAATCGTATCCTGAAAGATATAAAAACACACGACAGATAAATCAAAAACTAGCACTTCAAAGCATCAAGCAGGTATTTTGCAGCTTTTACCAATAATATCCTGAATCACAGAAACAGTTCATGCTCAACAGAAATAATTATTAACAAAGAACAACCATGAATAGAGAAATAGCCATCTTGTCCTTACCAGCATAAACATCTTCATCCTCCACATCAAGCTCTTCAAGAGCCCCAATGCCAAAACCCGGAGCAATCTTTCCTGCTGATTTTTAACTCATATTAGCAGCAAAAACAATGCCCAGAAAAAGTTGGCATAGAGATACGCAATAGAGCATGTAAGTGTTTATAAGCAAAGAAATCAAACTAAGAAGAGGAAAAACTACAAAAGGGGAGTCAAGATCTTACATTTGGGTCCGAAAAGACTCTCCTTCATGGACACAGGTTTTCTGAAGCCAGCCTCCTTACTGGCAGAAAGGCGAGATCTTTTCATCTCTACAATTCAGATAAATGAAATGTTAAGTTAATGATCAAGAATTCCTGACAGGATAAACAACAGAAAAGTCCAAAGTAGATACCTCTAAATTCAGGAGCATGCTTAAAAGGATCATATCCTAAACCATGCAGGTCCTGCTTCGGATTGAGAACGTAGACCTGCAACAGATAATGGAGAAACAAAAAATATCATCACAATCAATGTAACTGAAGGAAATATCTAAAGAACTTCTGCAGCAGATTAACAGATTAACAAGAGAAACTGGAAAGTTGACTCACAGGAGTGCTTTCAGAAAATTTCATATCTTCACTAAATTGTGGATCTAATGAAGTTTCCACTTCAGTCTCTGGAGCGAATGAGTCGGAAGTTTCCTTGGTTTTCTCATCAGCAGAGAAGGCCAGGAATGCTTTTCTAGCCTCTCTACGAGCATCTGCACCAGCAAGATTATAGAAGAGAGAGGTAGGTTAAAATGAATTAACAAACAGAAAATACAGATTAAGGAGTAGTAAAAAGGAAAAAGAAAGTAAACAAAACAAAGTAGCTTGCTGTGAATTTTCAAAATAAAGAGGTACACCCATTGGTGCACAGAAGAAAATTATGGAAAAAGTTCAAACCTGAACTAGCACGCACATCCTTTATAGAATGACCACGTCGCCATCCCATCTTTACCAAAAGTTTGACACCTGAAACAAAAGATAGAAGCATATGTGTGAGATCAGGATTTCTTTACTTTATGCATTGGAGAATACAGAGAACCGAAAAATGGAGGTTATGCAAAATATTAACGAGGCTTTCAGAAACAAACCAATTGACTCTGAAACTGGAGCAACAAGTTCGTCAGGCACTGGGCCAGGAATGGCTGATGGCCTGTGATACAGAAAACAAAAATTTACAAACCAAGCATAAAATATAGAGATACCAACTTCATAGCCAACTCAAATGAAAGAAAAGGAACTTTAAGTTGTTGCAACTTATTATCAAAAACAAACTTATCACACAATCTCTAACATTACTAGTCATAACCAAAGTAAAATGGAGCAACCTCCCAAAAGCAGCCTTAGCTGCTAAGAAGCTGCTAAGAAACTTTCAAATGATTGCAGAGTGTAGTAGAGAGATTGATAACAAAGAGTGGGATATCCGATCTACTTGAATTCTGACCAGGGGTCCAGGCTACAACAATGCTGAGAAAAACAAAGGAATATAATAGAAAAGTATAAAGAGACCTTTCATGCTGTTCTTTCTCAGCTTGCTTGCGAGAATGCTCAGCTGCTGTAAAACCAAATGTGTCAAATTGTGAGCTTGCAGACAGTGATTGGCCCACCAACTCCTGAAATGCAAAAGCATTAAGAGTGGGTTAAAATTGTTTAAATAAAACTACTCACTTTCCCTGCTACCACTGAGAAAGTGTTACAGAAGGAAAATTCACTACACAGTAATCAAATTTTTTTACGAGCTTAAACACAAATGACTTGAAATAAAGCTTCAAAGAAACTAACACGGATAAGAAGATGAAACATACCGCCCTCTCATCTTCATCTAGAAAGTCTGAAATACTTTGCTTTCTCGCTCCAGCTCTGTTCTTCCTTGATGACGTAAATGACTGTGGAGCCCAGCCTGAAATTCAACTTAGATTGTAAACATCAAACTAGGGATGAAAATCTATAGCCAATCGTATAAGTTCAAAATTTTACCTTCTTTTGACCCCACTGTATTGTAATATCCAGCAGAATATCCACCGGTAAATGCTCCATGGAACCTTCTCCGGCCTTCTTCATCAGTAACCTGAGGATTTGAAACTCAAGAAGTTAGCAGGTTCCCATAGAATATGACTCTGTACAGACTGACCTTATTTCAAGCAGAACAAATCATCACACACTAGGAACCTGGACAAGGAATTGTTAAGAGATACCATGCATCCATTTATAAGGAGAAAGTTGTGCACACATATTGCTTCGATAAGTTTGCCAACATTTATTAATGTATATTTCAAAATACCTTCAAGACGACACCTATATGCAGATTATCAATCTAATAACAACCTTTAGATACATAACTAAGCAAGAGCAAACAAAGCAAATCACAAAATCTCAGATTCACAATAAACATGATCCTCAGTATCAAACCAGTTTAAGTACAAACATTCACTGCGATTTCTTTTCTAAGGTTAATTCCTGTCTACTCACAAAATTTCAAGACGTTTAAGCTCCCACTAATCCAATTTCAAAACATTGAAGAAAAAGAGCTGAAAACCGGAATGCCTCAAAAGTCATCTCACTCGGCATAAATTAGCTGAGCTCTCAACGGTAAGCTAAAATCAAAGAAACAGACACACCGAGAAACTGCTATGTTCATGGGCAAAGGTGGTTCTCGAGATACTTGATTTCTCTATTCATCAGCAACTAAACAGACGACTAGAAGAATCAAAGACTCACCTCTTGCTTCCAAGCAGGTAGAGTTCTTAGGTTGCCCGAAGCCCCAGCCACTGCCTTCTTCTTCCGGCTCGCGATTTCTTCCTCGCGCTCAATTGGCGTCCCGTGAAACACGAAATCTTCCTCGTCTGACCCCATTCTCTCTTCACCACCGAGAAAACCAGCAATTTCGAGATTCTGAAGGAGTTCCGGAGCAGAAATCAGAGTCTCCTGAGAAGAATCAATGAAGAGAAGGAAATATGGGCCTGGTTCGGGTCAAATTATTGGCCCATTTAGGTTTTGATTTATTGACCTTTATGAATTAAAATTATTTTCCATTTCTTATATTTTTTAAAGGGATTGAAATTATCTTCACGCGCCATCTCTACGTTGGGTAAAAACTGGGTTTCACGCGCGTTGCGTCTTCCGTTTGCCCTAATCGACTCTGCTAGAGAAGGCGAAGGAGAGAGAAAATTCCTCCGATAAGATTCCGTACAGTCCGATCGACTTCCCGCCTCCTGATCTCGCCGCGACTCGGTTGACTCGTCTGATATCCGACTTAGATCTTGTTGATTCGCGCTTTGAACCGTGTTGACTCAGGTACGGTGAGTCGATTATCCTATCTCTTCATTTTCGATTATCCCCTTGAGTGCCTCATACGCGGATCTTCGTGTTCGCATGGTTTTTATGTCTCTAACCGTAACCTGATCAATTTTATAGATTAAACGATGGATCCAATGGATATAGTCGGAAAATCAAAGGAAGACGCTTCCCTTCCGAAAGGTTAGTTTTGAAAAAATGTTCTTTCGATCCACTGACCTTTAATTTTTACCCATTTTGTTCTTTAGTTCGTGGTATTGGTAAGTTCTCGATGTTTTGGAATCCATTGTTATGGCTCATAGATCGTTGAAGGATAATTGAATAGGATTTGTGAATCTAGCTCGATAATTTGAAAACTGTCTCGATCATGAGCATCAGAAACTTAAAGTTAATCCCAATTTGTTTTCTTGCTAAGAAAATATGTTTGTTTTCGTTTTTTCACAGCTACGATGACTAAAATCATAAAGGAGATGTTACCCCCAGATGTCCGAGTAGCTAGAGATGCTCAAGATCTTCTCATTGAGTGTTGTGTAGGTAAGTATGATCTTTCTCTGTTTCTCTACTTGCTCCTCATTCTTGCTTCTTACTACGTTTTTGATTGTGGACATTTTGTTTGCAGAGTTTATCAATCTTGTTTCTTCGGAATCTAATGACGTTTGTAACAAAGAGGACAAACGAACGATTGCTCCTGAACACGTTCTCAAGGCACTACAGGTATTGTATTACATTGAGATTCTTATCCATGTGACCATTACCAAGAAAATAAATCATTTTTTTCGCATATTGCAAATGATTTTGCTATGAACAGGTTCTAGGTTTTGGAGAATACATTGAGGAAGTCTATGCTGCCTATGAGCAACATAAGTATGAAACCATGGTAAAATTCCTCTGCTTCTTCCCTTACTCTTTTAAGACCGGGATGAAGAAGAATAAACCCTTAACATTCCTACGGTTTGTAACTCTATAGCAGGACACACACAAGAGTGTGAAATGGAACAGTGGTGCTCAGATGAGTGAGGAAGAAGCAGCAGCTGAGCAACAACGTATGTTTGCAGAAGCACGTGCAAGAATGAATGGTGGCGTTCCAGTGCCTCAACCTGAAGAACAACATCCAGAAACCGACCAGCGAAGTCTGCAAAGCTAGCTAATTGAAACCGTAAGGGTAAACTTTCGATAGGCAGCCCAAAAAAAAAGCATCCTTTTTAACATTCCCTTGTAAGTGAAAATGTGTCTGTCTGTTTATATGCTCTTAGTATAATATAAGCTAGTGTTCTATGATCTAAAAACATTTGTGATTCAGATGTAATTAGTAAGCATTCCTTGTGTCTTGTGTAAACACGGTGGGTCAAGTCTACAGCAAAACGCATTCGAATTGATAATTTTACAGAGGGAATGTGATCAAATTCCAAATCCTAATGTTTGTAGGTTGGGTGGTTTTATTGAACCATATGTTACCGCTCAATCCATATGATTTACACATATAACTGAATATATGTTACCGCTCAATCCATATGATCTCTATGATTTACACATATAACTGAATAGTACAAATGACATAGAAAAAGTATGCATTAAATATGTACATCAATTTACTAACAGATTAGTATCGTACCAAAAATAAATAAAAACATGATGAATTATGACATCATTAAAGCATATAAAAGGTTGGGGATGATTAGGGTGAGGGGAGGAGTCGGAGAAGGGCAAGGTACATATGCTAGGACCATCACCGGTGTGACGTGTCAGTTCGCAGGTCTCTGTTTACTCTGCACCCGACAACAACGAGAATCAGAACAGACCTATATCATATCTCTCTTTATGACGTCAATAAACCGAACTATATAGCTAGACATTTTTCTGCATAGTAGTATTATTTTACATTTGTATTGTAGGATTGTTTTATTCTTCGATACAAGACAAAGCTTGTCGAATGTTGTATGCCCCTCAATGGCACGTCACACCAATCTTTATTTTGAGAGAATATTTCGTACTGAATTGAGACTGTAAAACAATAGTAAAAATTCATCATTCATGAATAGTTGAATTCATTAAACTTTCCGGTATAAGTCCATACAGAATCATCTTAGATTTACAGACTTGAACCACAGCAATTGTTAAACTCATCCGTAGTTTGCAGTTCCAGAAAATCTTGGGTCAAATACTCGAAGTTCTTGATTAAGAAAAAGATTGGGATGAAAATTCGTTCTTATAATGTTTGATATATTTTAATACAGTTTTTTTATTTTGCGAATGTTGATTTTAAGATGAAGTGATGAACTTGAACTCTGAATCATACGGAACGTATTAATTTGTTGAATTTAAATAAAAAAAACTAAGCACCATGCATGTTTTTAGGCTTTGAATGGTCCCAGAAAAACAAAAATAAGACCTCAATCCGTCTGTGTCAAATTATTTGAGTTGTCTTTTTTTTTACTTATTTTTGGTTGTCAGCAAGTACTTTTTTACCTTTCTAGTAAATAAACACTACTGTAGAAATCTTACCGTATATAAAATCTGATTCTACTGTAAAAAACTTTAGACTCAAAAATGTTTGCTATAATGCTATCTAAACAAGAATGCTAGAAACAAAAAATACTACACATTTAGCTGAACAAAACTGAAGAGATGGGAAATTCACATGATACTGGATAAAATATTTTTGTTTATATTGATTATAAAATCATTTGTCAATTCATTTTAAACCTGTTTGAAAACATCTTTCCAGTTTTCTTTAATGTGATTAGAATAGAGACGTTGTATATGTACGATAAAGATTAAATATAGAGAAGGATTTGATAAGTGTACTAACACACTTTTTTACTGTACAAAGACTGAAGTCAAAAAGAGGGAGGAGTCAAACAAAAAATGAGGCTCTTTGTGATTACCCCACATCGAAAATGAAACAACACACACTTTGTCTCCAGATTCCTTTCTTTTGTCATTTCTCGTGTTTCTCCCAAAGTATTCAACAAAACACAATCCCGGTTATTCTCTAATATCTTTAAAGCAAAATAACACCAAGAAACTATATTAAATAAACAAAGATCCACATTCCTTAAAAAACTTAGACTACACACACATGGTACATCACACTACAATTTTGTAAATGGCCTAAAATTGTTGAGAAGAAAGGTAGTATTAGACTATTAGTCACTAAGTAGAATTGGAAAAAAGTTAATTAGAGAAGCACAACTCAGTTGATTCTTTTCCTCTTTAGTGGATGAAGTTTTTTTTATATAGTTTTCTACTTTGGAGCTAAAATTAATCCCAAGTCCAATCACTTGACACCTACATACATTGAAAACTAAAAAGCAAAAGACAAATCTACACACAATGAAACTATCATTTTTCTCCTTTATTTTGCGAAATCGTTTTCAAAGATGAGTTGGTGGGTCCAGTCACAGTCGATTCTCTGTCACTGTATTATCTTCTCTCTCACACCAACACACTCACAACGACAAGAGAGAGAGAGAAAAAAAAAGAGAGAAGAGAGAGAGAGTTTTAGTCACCAAATAGACCAAACCCTGAAGTTAAATTCACACCAGCTACTTTGTTCATTACCACATCCATATCCACATTCTCTCTCTCTCTGTCTCTCTCTCTGTCTTTCTCTAAGCTTGAGCTTCTTTTCAATGGCGAGAGGAAATTCACACGACTTTACCTCCAAGAGACACAATAGTTTCCACTGGACACGAAAAGTCGGATCAGACGAAAACGACGACGTTTCTTCCCATAACCATCTCCATGACAACACTAAACCCGTTTCCAAACAGAATCCTTCTTCTTCTTCCTCTTCCTCTTCTACTGTAATCACTCCCAAAAGGAAACTCCAATCCTTCGCCGTTTCTCGTCTCCGGTCAGTCATCGCTTCTCTCAGCAAAGCCCGACCCGGAAACCATTCCGGACTCGGGTCTCGGGTCGTGGGTACACTTTTCGGATCCCGTCGCGGACACGTGCATTTCTCAATCCAAAAGGATCCCACTTCCGCTCCGGCGTTTATGATCGAGCTCGCCACTCCGATTAGCGGATTAGTCAAGGAGATGGCTTCGGGACTCGTCAGGCTCGCTCTGGAATGCGACAAGGCGAAGGAGGAAGAAAAAGAAGAAGGGGAAAACGGAAATCGCCGTCACGGCGGAGGAGACAAGGCGAGGATCACGATTCCGCGGCGGTTGGTGGAGGAGCCGATGTGGAGGACTTACTGCAACGGGAAAAAGTGTGGATTCGCGACGAGGAGAGAGTGTGGTGAGAAGGAGAAAAAAGTCTTGAAGGCGCTCGAGATGGTTTCCATGGGCGCCGGAGTTTTACCGGAGACGGAAGGTACATCCGGCGGCGACGGTGGCGGAGATATAATGTACATGAGGGCGAAATTCGAGCGAATCGTTGGGTCGCGTGATTCAGAGGCTTTCTATATGATGAATCCTGATAGTAATGGAGCTCCTGAGCTCAGTATCTATCTGCTCAGAATCTGAAGAAGAAGACGATGATCCACCGAAGCATCTCTTTCAAAAGGAGGGTTTAACGGTTAACGAAGATTTCCCGGTTTAATTACTTAAATAGTCGGTTAAGTGGTTATATATCGGAAATTAAAGTAGCGTACTCGAATATATCGTATTTGAATCGAAAACGACATATCTATTATTGCAATTCGGATTAGATGTGAATGTGATCGATCGATCGATAATGTTTTAGAGCAGGTTTTATTTTTGGGGTGGTGGTTTAGAGGTTTTTAAATTTGGTATATGGATTTGGAGGGGCTTGTAAATGTATAAATTTCGTTTTTTAAATGGTAATCTTTTGTTGTTTTCATAATGTTTATGTTATAGTGGCACCGAGCCTGTAGAATCGTAATGATTAAAGTCTCGATTTGTTTCACATTTTTCATTAGTATTTGGTCACTAAATCATGCTTTAAAGTGTAAAATCATCATTGATTTTCTCTGATCCGAGAATATTACACTGAATAGTGTTGGACCATTTGGAATTTTGGACCATACATTTATAAAAGAGTACGCGTATCGACTATAACGACGCAATTATTTCTATTTGTATACTCCTCTACGTGGGTCTTATCTTATCTATTAAATTTCCAAAGTTGAACCTAATTCGGGATATTATTACACTGAGAGAGTATTTGTTATTTAATGAGTACGGCCAAACCATCAATTCTTCATTTAAGATTAGAAAAAGCTTAAGAAACAAGTAACTAGAAATAAAACGATTCATCAATGCTATGATTATGCATTTACGTAATACAACAAGGTTTAACCTTGCACACACAAAAAAAACAAGGTTTAACCTTGCGAGGACCTTATCGTCATTTAACGTACAATCTTTTACTGGTGTCGTATGTCTTTTCCCTAGTTTCAAGGCTTTACTTTCTTTTGATTTTTGACTATCAAATACCAAAACTCCATTAGTATTTAAATGCAGGAGAGCCTTTGCTTTATACTTATTTTCATGCTCTATTCAAGTTATAACTAAAAATGTAAAAAAATAATAATAATTCAAACTGTTGTATAATTCGGAAATGAAAGTTACATGCAATGTAAAGAAAAAAAGCTCATTCACAATTGTTTGAATATTAAACGTTTTCTTTCCCCAGAAAAAAGCAGGCGCTTGTACATTCACAGAGAACAGATCCGATTAAGATTACGCTGCACGATACTCAAGGAACGTGTTTTCTTCTTTTTCCTTTTTTTTATTAACGTTAAAGAGCAGGTTTACTAAAATTTCTTCATGAGACTCTGCAAAAGAGACAAAAGCTGGTGCCTACAACAATTAAGATTATAAGAAATAATATGAAGGAAAATAAAAAAGACACGTTGAGTTGTTGATTGCTTTACATCCTTGAGCAAATTAGTTTTGGGTCAAAATCCTTGTGCTTACTGTCCGAACTCTGATTACCGGCTAAAAGCTACTTCTTTCTTTTTACTGTGATGTTTTAAGAAAAAAATAGTGTTTAAATTATCCATAATTTGAAAAAGCAATGACACTTAAGGTACATAACGTAAAAATTGAGATGTTGAGCACTACAATGATGTGGCATAGTTGCTTAGCTTTGATACGAAAAGATCACTAAATATTGGAGAGGAACTTGTATAAGTCTCTCTACGTGTACTCTGTTCTTCAGTCTCACGCGCTTGTTCTTCGTGTGAGCTGAGTGACAAATCGAATTCGTGTGTGTTTGTGTTCAGTTGTTTAAGTCTTTGACGTTTTGGAGCAAACCTGAATTTAAATTTAAAACATTTCTGCAATTGGGCGACAAAAATGACAAAACAATACAAAAACATTGACGAATCAATTTCTGCAAAAGAGACAACTAATGAAGTAATGAGTAATTACACTTTTGCTTTAGATAAAGAGCCGGCTTTAGCCGTTTCTTACTTTTGTTTTTCTATTCTTTACCTGTTTTATACTTTCGTACTAAAATTTATTCTAAAATGAGATTCTTAATTCGAAAGTAACAAGACATAAACCAAATATGCACAACCTTTAGATTCTATATTTGTTTGTGGGTTTAGTGGTTAAGGAACAGTGAGCAACTATGTATCACTTTATTATATTTCCAATGTAAATGCCTCGTCCAATGATGCCCCAGTTCTGTGACAGCAACATAATTAATACAGTATGAAAAACATTAGGGAACACATATATGATTGATAATCGGGTTCCAGCGCAACCTTTAACCTTGTGGGTTTTATGGTCGGAATTTCGAGTCTCTAGATATACAATATATAATTATATACAAGCTTAAACACTTCTCTTTGATTCAACATTTCAGGCTCAAATGTGTGATACTGATGGATAATGATTTTCCGCACGCAGGCCGTTGAGTTTGTGAAAAGAGGGTAAAATGTCGTAAGAATGGTTGTTCTTCTTTTGGTGTCCAAGATTAAGGTGATGATTGGTTCTCCCGCTACCACCCGCAAACGCAGCGTTTGCGGTTCGTAGCGGTTCTTAGCGTTTTATAACAATCACGACAACCGCTTTCAACCGCTCTATACCACTCTGTACCGCTCTATATCGCTGAAAATCAAAAGCTCCTTTCCGCAAGCGTTTGCGGTTGCGGGCGGTTGCGGTTTGAAAAAAAAAAAAAAAAAACATAATATCTCCAAATTTGGAATAAGGGTATATTTTTTTGAAAAATACCATAATTATGTTTAAAAATTTCGAAAATACCCTAAATTTTTTCTGTTTTGAAAAATACACTTTTAAAATGTAAAAAGTATGTTTTGACGTGATTTAAACAAAAAAATAATAAATAATTACAAATTATAAACGAAAATTTAAAAAAATAATAAACTAATAAGTTTTTTTTCAAATAAATATAGTATATGTTAAACTGAAACAAATTTTAATATTTTGGATCTTTATATAAACAACTTAACCTCATACACATTCAAACCAAATGAAACTTTAAATAAATTAAAACTTTACATATATTTAAAGTTTATAAATTATTAAAAATTTAAAAGTGGAGAAATATATCTTTCATTTTTAATGTTTATCTTTTGAAAAATTTAAATATTTTTGAAACTTTGCATAAACAACTTTAATCTCACCCCATTTAAACTTTATATAAACAATCTTATATTTTTATTAAATTGTTTAAAAAAAACTAAACAGGTAATTAGGATGTTAAAATGATACAAAATTATTATCAAATATTAATATTTTATATTTCTTATTTGAATTTCGTTTTTATTAAATTAGGAATAATCATTTTACATATAAAAAGTGTATTTTTCAAAACCAAAAAAAAAGGGTAGTTTTCAAATTAAAAATTCATCAAAAAATATATTTCAAAAAAAAAATTATTAATATGGTTATAAATGTTTTGAATAATTATATATTATTTTTATTTTAGTAACTTTTGGTTAAACCGCTCTTGCACCCGCTGGCTAACCAGTCAAAAATATCCCGCAAACGCAACCGCTATGAATTGCTATACCAGTCGTACAAACAGCTTTTAATCGCAAACTCCCGCTTCCGCAAACTCCCGCAGCCGCAAACTCCCGCAACCGCAGCGGTTAAACCAGTCAGACCCTAAGTTATAGATCCTACGTGTGCTTTGCAACTGAACGCCAACCGGTAAGACACTAGATAAAGGTTTCCACGTAAACTTAACAATCAAAGGGACGTCTCAAGTATTTTTCACACCACACTTTTAAAACTATGGATATGATATTATTGTGCATTCAAAATATCAACTGGTTAAAAAATTGTCGTTTCATTGTTTTTAAAATGTTGAAAAGTAAAGAAAATGCTACTTGTTTTTGCAAGAATGAAAAATGAACTTATGTTAATCCATAATTAAAAAAAAAACATTATATCCATAGCTAAAGACTTAATTATTTAGATGATTTTTTAATTTAACAATAACTAATACCAAATGTATGTTGGTAGTGCTCACAAGTCACAACATTGATGGTTTTTTAGTTTGTATAAATCCTATAAACATTCATTGTTTTTAATCAGTAACGTGTCAAAAACATTCGAACTTTTGCTCCATTATTTTCATATTCTTAATAGGCCTTAGATTTCATACGCCAGAGGCCCAGTAAGAAAGCACAGTTTATGTCAATTTGATTTTATTCCTTTTTTTTTTTGGGTTCACATTAATGAAAATTGACATAAGTTTAGTCATAATTCTGAATTTTTTCTTCAAGTAAAAGCTCTCAGCTTTCTCCTTTAAAGCTCGGTGAATTGTGATGTTTTCTTAACTTCGATCTTCAACCTTGACTCTGCCTGAGTCGGTGCATCCAAATTCTTCGAGATAAAAAAACCCGACTTTGTAATTCCATCTTCTCTATTTATCCATGGGACTATAACCTTTTCTGCAACAGAGGACATTTGTAATCGAAGATGGATTCACTTTTTCTCGAAGATTTTGGGCAGAAGGTGGATTTGACCCGACGAATTCGGGAGGTTTTGTTGAACTACCCGGAAGGAACCACCGTGCTCAAGGAGCTCATACAGAACGCTGACGACGCCGGAGCTACCCGGGTCCGCCTCTGCCTTGATCGCCGGGCTCACGGGTCGGGTTCTCTGCTGTCGGACTCTTTGGCTCAGTGGCAGGGTCCTTCTCTCTTGGCCTACAATGATGCTGTCTTCACCGAGGAGGATTTCGTTAGTATCTCCAGAATTGGTGGGAGTGGCAAGCATGGTCAGGCTTGGAAGACTGGCCGATTTGGGTAATTTCTGATTCCTTCTCTCTCAATTGCACACCTTTTTTCTCCGCTTCTTGCTTATGTAGACATCAATTTGACTCCTTTCAACTAACTAGTAAGATGATGATGATGATCCAGTACAGTAATTAGCTGGTTAAGATGCTAGATTATGTGTTTCACTCAACCTCATTGTATCACAGATTTGAAGTTTTTTAGATTTTGTTTACTTGAATCATTCCTCCATCGTTTTCTGATAACTGTTCTGACTTTTGATATTATAGGGTTGGCTTCAATTCGGTA